TCAGTTTGTCCAACTTTAGGAAGATTCCTGGTTGTTCCAAACTCCTCCCATTAAGGATTATGGAGGCTACATGCTTCTGTGAACATTCAATGCAGAATATTTTTTTTAGTCTTCCCCAGATCTGTCTCTGAACACAATCCTGTCTCTGATCTCTGCAGGCAATTATTTTGACCATGGCTTTGTTTTTTCTCTGATATGCATTTTCAGCTGTTAGATCTTTTAATGAGTGGTGTGTGACTTTCCAAATCATGTCCATTCAATTGAACTCCATTCACAGTGCAATATATCAAAGGTGTCCCAGCAAAATTGGATTGATCCTGAGCTAAATTTCAAGTGTCCTAGAAAAGGGTACAAATATTTATGCAATGCAATGTTTTTTTTTTATATAATATATATATATATATATATATATATATATATATATATATATATATATATATATATGAAGAGTTCAGATGCAAAAGCCTCTAAATGCCATTTGAAATTTTCTTCTTTAATGATGATTTTTATCAAACTTGTATATTTAAGTTCAGTAATTTCACTTAAATAACAATTAATAGGTAATTATCATTGCCATTTAAGTGAAATCACTAAACTTAAATATACAAGCTTGATAAAAATGATCATTCTAGAAGAAAATTTCAAATGGCACTTAGAGGCTTTTGCATCTGAACTCTTCATATATATATACACTCACCGGCCACTTTATTAGGTACACCTGTCCAACTGCTCGTTAACACTTAATTTCTAAGCAGCCAATCACATGGCGGCAACTCAGTGCATTTAGGCATGTAGACATGGTCAAGACAATCTCCTGCAGTTCAAACCGAGCATCAGTATGGGGAAGAAAGGTGATTTGAGTGACTTTGAACGTGGCATGATTGTTGGTGCCAGAAGGGCTGGTCTGAGTATTTCAGAAACTGCTAATCTACTGGGATTTTCACGCACAACCATCTCTAGGGTTTACAGACAATGGTCCGAAAAAGAAAAAACATCCAGTGAGCGGCAGTTCTGTGGGCGGAAATGCCTTGTTGATGCCAGAGGTCAGAGGAGAATGGCCAGACTGGTTCGAGCTGATAGAAGGGCAACAGTGACTCAAATAACCACCCGTTACAACCAAGGTGGGCAGAAGAGCATCTCTGAACGCACAGTACGTCGAACTTTGAGGCAGATGGGCTACAGCAGGAGAAGACCACACCGGGTGCCACTCCTTTCAGCTAAGAACAGGAAACTGAGGCTACAATTTGCACAAGCTCATCGAAATTGGCAACCCGGTCTCATCCCAAATCGTCATATAACTGACGTTTTGGGACGTCTTTTGACCATACGTCAATATTCGCCTTTTTAGGGCCCCCTTAAACGTCGGTAGATGAGGTTATGGGATCCTAACTCTACCCCATACCTAAACTTAACCCTAAACCTAACCCGTCACCTAACTGACGTTAAAGGTAAAGCGTCAGTTGTATGACGGCCCGGGATCGCCATCTACCGACGTTTAAGGGGGCCCTAAAAAGGCGGATATTGACGTATGGTCAAAATACGTCCCAAAACGTCAGTTATATGACTTTTTGGGATGAGACTGTGTTAAAATTGGACAATAGAAGATTGGAAAAACGTTGCCTGGTCTGATGAGTCTCGATTTCTGCTGCGACATTCGGATGGTAGGGTCAGAATTTGGCGTCTACAACATGAAAGCATGGATCCATCCTGCCTTGTATCAACGGTTCAGGCTGGTGGTGGTGGTGTCATGGTGTGGGGAATATTTTCTTGGCACTCTTTGGGCCCCTTGGTACCAATTGAGCATCGTTGCAACGCCACAGCCTACCTGAGTATTGTTGCTGACCATGTCCATCCCTTTATGACCACAATGTACCCAACTTCTGATGGCTACTTTCAGCAGGATAATGCGCCATGTCATAAAGCTGGAATCATCTCAGACTGGTTTCTTGAACATGACAATGAGTTCGCTGTACTCAAATGGCCTCCACAGTCACCAGATCTCAATCCAATAGAGCATCTTTGGGATGTGGTGGAACGGGAGATTCGCATCATGGATGTGCAGCCGACAAATCTGCGGCAACTGTGTGATGCCATCATGTCAATATGGACCAAACTCCCTGAGGAATGCTTCCAGCACCTTGTTGAATCTATGCCACGAAGAATTGAGGCAGTTCTGAAGGCAAAAGGGGGTCCAACCCGTTACTAGCATGGGGTACCTAATAAAGTGGCCGGTGAGTGTATATATATATATATATATATATCCACAAGTTTCAGAGGGGCGCTCCTGTAAAAAATAAAGTGGGTGAAACTTCCGGTGATGCGGCGGAAGTAGCATTCCAATGGTATTTTGTGTGTTAGTTAGCGAAGAGGCTAGCTGTTTTTCGGATAATTATTTTACTATTTAAAGACGCAAATCTTTATGAGCGATGTCGTTACGGAGCTCAGGGACAACATGTGCTGTTCGCGGTTGTATGTATAACCGGACTAAACTAATTCAGTGGCTTAAATGTGATTGTTTTGAACATAAGCTGAAAACTAAATCAGAGTGATCCTGCCAGAGCCCGTCTCTGATCCTGCCAACGACTGTAGTTTCCATCACCTCCCAAAAGACGACGAATCTTCCTGTGTACATTTGTTTAAATTCTTAATATTCTATAAACTCTATCAGCATGTGATTGGCTGTTCGCTACTGATGTTACACCTAAACTCAGGATCAAAGCCTGTGTTGACAGAATACCAAATGTGTCAGTTAATGTATTCAAGTAGCACATTCATTTATAATTTTGAATAAACTCCAAAGCACAATGACTAAGTGTGTATTTTTTATTTGAATTGTTTGTCAGCTCGCACAACTGTCTGTCACCATGCCTTGATGAGTATTGATTATTAATAATGTTATTATAATAGTCCCAATCAACTACTGCGGAGGGTAAAGGTACTGTTATTTCACCCTTTTGAATTTCGTTGAGGTTGTGTTCCCACATCGTTAGCTAGTTTGGATCGCTATAACTTGAATGACTGTCAACTGTTGAATGAACGAGTGTCAAGCATGTCAAATCGCGCTTTGTTTACTTCCAACCGGAAGTCGCGCCCACTTTTGACGCAAGGCCTCATGGGGCGTAGGAAACTTGTGGATAAGGACAAACATTTCATTTAAAGAATAAAAGTCTAAAAGAAGTCCCTGAAAGAAGGTTAAAATAATAAAATCGTAGAAGGGATTTGAAAAATAGCTGAAATAAATAGTGTTAATAAATGTTTCTAAGACTATCAAAAAGTCTAAAGTTAAAATGTTAGTTTCTATAAAACTCAACTCCCGGAACATTAAAGTCCAAGCAGCTGAAGACACATTTATTACTGATATTTTGTAAGAAGTGCTCAGTAAGTATGACCTCATCCAGACATCCAAATCCGATTTCCATAAACTGTGCTGTGTGTCTGTTAGTGTGACCTGGACTGCTGTGTAGGCATGTTGGCATTTCGCCTGTTATGAGCTGCTGTAATGACTCATTAGTAATATGGAGTGTGTGAAAGAGTAAGCGAGAGTGTGTGTAGTGTGTTACAGTACAACATTTCAAACACTTTAAAAGCACCAGCCAAACATGCATGATTGTCATAACTGATTTTTTTTTTGCAAGCAAGTTTTATCTTGTGTGTTCCACATAACATAAGTATGATTGAAAATTTATATTTCAGTATTTAATTTTCATTGTATGGTTCCTGACAATTTATTTTCTCAAGTGATCCATCAAATATAAATATTTCAAAGTGGATGTTCCAACTCCATGGCCACAAGAACAAATGCACCAAATGTTCTGAAAGATGTTTTAATGTTCATTGTACCTCAAGTATTTCAAGGATTCATCTATAACTCAATAAGAAAAAAAAAATGTTCTGTCTGAGAGCTGAAAAAGAATTATGTATCCATGGCAACTTGCCATCCTAGTTTCTAGCATCTTATATTTTCCTTATATTGCAACAACGTGTTTTCTCTTTTTTCTTATCCAACATATCCGATTTATATTTAAAAGGAGAACGAATCTTATGTAGACATAGACATGCATTAAGAGTTGTCTGGGTTACAGGCATACGGTTTATAGACTCCATTCACACTTTAATGGAAGGTAGGTTGTCATGGATTGGGACATGAGTTCATTGTCATTGTTGGTTTGCTTATCATTGTTAAGAGTATATATGTTAAATTTACAAGATTTTTTTTTGCATTTTGGGGTTGTCCCCTACCCAGAATTTTTAACTTTCCCTCTTAAATTATATACATATGGTTAGAATAAGGGAAATTCTACTCTCTCCGTGGAAAATCTTATTTTCGTTAGATTTTATTAATTTATTTTTTTTATATACTGCTGTCATACACTGTCCTCAATACTGATGTCATTACCATCACACTAAGTGTTTTGGTGAGTTTTTCCATAAAATTACTTTGGTTATGACTGAAATGGAGATGAGACCACAGCGGTAATTTTAGTCATTTACATGACTAATTTACATGACACAATGCTTCTGGGAGCATTTAATTAACCAACTGTCTTTAACATTAATTTAGTACAGTATTTATGGAAATTTAGGTTGGTAATACGACTCCCTTATATTAATTGCTTCTGATTGTAATATTAAGAATTGTCCTTGAATAAATGTAAATGCAAATGTGAATATCATTATCTCAAAGTGCCTTTATTAGGAACTATTACCAAATGAGTTACTCTTGGAGAATTTAATTATAAAGCAATACCCCCCAATTAAACATTAATTTGACTGTTCGCTGACTTGCGCTAACCAACTGAAAAATGTCATTACCAACACACAGAGAATCACACATTATTCTAAAATTCCCTTTAAACTTGATCAAGACCACTCTTTATTATTGCTCTTTATTACTTTTATTGTTTTTACACCATAAACGTAACCATTTATTTCAAAAGAGCCCCTAAACGAAGAAAGCCACCCGAGACGTGTTGTTGCAAAACGTACACAGCCAGCAACTCTCAGCTTCACTCTGTCAGTCATTTATTTGTTGGCAAACAAGTTTCACTGTTACAACAAATATTAGTGAGAGGTCATTCAACCACAGGAGAAAAAAATGGATAAACAAAAGAATAAATAAAATTTATAATCATATTTGTGATAAAACATTTAATGTGCCGCAATCATTTCACCTCTAGCAGTTTTGCAGAATAGTTTGTACTTTCTCCCCCCTCAGTTTAATAAATAAACATTCATTCTCCACCAGAAAAAAAAAAAAAAAAAGCCAAAAGAAGATATTTTTTTAAGTTTCTCTCATTCTAAATGCGGATCTATGAAATCAAAAAAAAAGTGTCTTGCGTTAATCTCTGTCAAAGTCTCGCTCTCTCTGAATGAAAAAGACTTTTTTGATCATAAACTGCGATTCTCATATCTCTACCCCAAAATGGCAACATATTTTCAATGTTGGGCACCTTTCTTCATCTACAAACTGGTGTCTATAAATCAAACAGATGAGGAAAAATATATATATATTTTTGTCTATTCTGTTGCTGTTGTTGTTTTTTTTTTCTACTTGCCATTATTCATACTAAAATGAAGACATGAATGTAAAATATATAATTAAAAAAAGAGAGGAATCAAAACCTGTCGTGTTGAGGACAAGACCATCAGGAGAGAAAGGAAATGGTCTGAAATCACCATAGTTACGGAAGCAGAAGGCGTAGGAACAGAATAAGCACTATCCTGTGTAACACTAGTGTCTGTACATTTACATAGAAATATCGTAGAATTCTCCAGTATTAGTTTTTCCCACGCTTTTCAATATTTGTTATTAATACAGCAAAGAACAGAAACGGTGGAGTCGTCCTTCTTCGGCATTGTTCTCTGTTGCAGCAAAATGTGCTGCTTTTTTTACCACATGAGTAGAAGAAACATATTTAAAAAGCAAATATGGATAAAGAAGGTATTAAAATAGTTTCTGAGTCACATTGTTTCCGACGTGATTGGTGTTGACTAGACGCACTGAGCTACTAACAATGTTTTTTTGGCAGTTATTTGTATTCCTTCGGGGCCGCTGAGAGTGAAAAACCCTTCAAAGTCTGGTACTCCCCATAAGGTTATACATCAAATCCAGTTTTGGGTCCGTTGTCCCTTTAAGTAGTAGTGCACGACCAATGGAATCAAAACAATGCCAACTTTCGTTCCTCAAGCAAGAGTACTCATAATCCTTTCCTGAACAGAATACAAAATCGCCTCCCAAGGTTTGTTGGTGCAGTTCAATTTTCTGCAGACACGTAGAAGCAAAAGTGAACAACTGTGGACGACAGAACGGTACGGAAACGTAGAAGAGCACGTAGAGCTCGAGATGTTATAGGGGGCGATGACGGTGAGCACAGCAGAAAGCATGATGTTCGGCACCCTCTATAGGCTGGTGACCATGTGTGCAGGCTCCAGCGGCATTTCTTCGGGCGAAAGCTCATCTTTGGGCGGGATGATAAAGCCGTCGCTGCTGCCGCGGCCCAGCTGGTAGTAGCTGTGAAGCTGGTCCAGATGGTTGCGTGAACCCAAGTTGGGCATACTCTTATAGTACACTTCATCTGGCTCCCCGGTCCTGGGAAGCGTGTGCGTGTCGCCACTGCGGGGCAGCGAATGCGTGTTGGTGCGCTCGGGGTCAGGCAGCGTGGGCATGCTGGTGTAGAGCGAGTCTCTCTGCGGGGACGGAGTCTCTTCCGTTTGCTCCTCTGTCAGCAGAGGGAAGAAACTCTCGCTGTTTTCTTGCGGAAGGCGCCGTCGTAATGAAGAGGCCGAGCTGAACGTGGTGGGGAGAGGCTGGACGTGGCGTGGTGGCGGAAGCAGAGGTGCACTGGACTCCTCCCTGATCAGCTCCAGCCCTAGACTGTCCTCGGGCGGGAAAGATGGCGAGTTGTCCAAGCCCAACGCAAGGTTAACAGGCAGCATGGGAGAGTCTTTCACCCCGCCTCCATTGCTGACTTCGTTCACCAACTTGTTCATGAGGTTGCGCCCGTGCTCGGCCGTGCGGTCGTGGTTGTTTAGGTAGGTGGGCAGGTAGTTGGAGGTGAGCTCTTTCAGGATCCGTTTCTCCAGCGTGGTCTCTTTGTGTACGTTGTACGTGCGGTCGATGATTTGCACGCAGTCGCTCATATAATCGGCGCTGGCTAAGCTGTAGCTGTTGCCATGGTTACCATTCAGTGGTAGAGTATCCATGGCACTTGTATCCCGAGCATTGTTCAGGATTCCCTCTGCAAGACGGGGAGTCAAGGAGAAGAGTAATTAAAAAAAAACTTGCGCCTGGGCACACACAATAAGACTGACATGCAGAACCGCTCGCAGAAACAAACTGAAAAACCTTGAAACTCTTCGTCCCTGGGCGAATATTAATTGAGCTTGCGAATGAATTGTATCTTGATTGGATTCGTCATGGGTTCAAGGCTGATGTGGGGTTTAAAACTCTAAAACTTGTCAGCTAATCCTGTGAAAATGGACTTACCAGTCAAACACGTCTGAATTAGCATTCCTCAATTTCCCCACATATCATAGGAACACTCAAACCTACGGAGGCGTATTGCATTCACTTGAAGAAAAAAAATCTACTCTGTTTTTCTGAATTAAAGAGTTAATTTTTCATGAGAAAAAAAAATTGTTCTGTTTTTCTGAATTAATGAGTTAATTTTTCATGAGAAAAAAAATTGCTCTGTTTTTCTGAATTAACGAGTTAATTTTTCATGAGAAAATTTTTTTGCTCTGTTTTTCTGAATTAATGAGTTAATTTTTCATGAGAAAAAAAATTTGCTCTGTTTTTCTGAATTAACGAGTTAATTTTTCATGAGAAAATTTTTTTTGCTCTGTTTTTCTGAATTAATGAGTTAATTTTTCATGATAAAAAAAAAATTTTTGCTCTGTTTTTCTGAATTAATGAGTTAATTTTTAATGGATTTTTTTTTTGCTCTGTTTTTCTGAATTAATGAGTTAATTCAGAAAAACAGCAAAAATAAATTTTCTCATGAAAAATTAACTCATTAATTCAGAAAAACAGAGCAAAAACTTTTTTTTTCTCAAGAAAAACTAACTCATTAATTCAGAAAAACAGAGTAAAAACTTTTTTCTCATAAAAAATTAACTCATTAATTCAGAAAAACAGAGCAATTTTTTTTCTCATGAAAAATTAACTCATTAATTCAGAAAAACAGAGCAAAAACTTTTTTTTTCTCATGAAAAATTAACTCATTAATTTAGAAAAACAGAGGAAAACATTTTTTCTCATGAAAAATTAACTCGTTAATTCAGAAAAACAGAGCAAAAAAAATATTTCTCATGAAAAATTAACTCATTAATTCAGAAAAACAGAGCAAAAAAAATATTTCTCATGAAAAATTAACTCATTAATTCAGAAAAACAGAGCAAATTTTTTTCTCATGAAAAATTAACTCATTAATTCAGAAAAACAGAGCATTTTTTTTTCTCATGAAAAATTAACTCATTCATTCGGAAAAACAGAGCAAAAACTTTTTTTCTCATGAAAAATTAACTCATTAATTCAGAAAAACAGAGGAAAAAAATGTTTTCTCATGACAAATTAACTCATTCATTCGGAAAAACAGAGCAAAAACTTTTTTCTCATGAAAAATTAACTCATTAATTCAGAAAAACAGAGCAAAAACTTTTTTTCTCATGAAAAATTAACTCATTAATTCAGAAAAACAGAGGAAAATTTTTTTTTCTCATGAAAAATTAACTCGTTAATTCAGAAAAACAGAGCAAAAAACTTTTTTCTCATGAAAAATTAACTCATTAATTCAGAAAAACAGAGCAATTTTTTTTCTCATGAAAAATTAACTCGTTAATTCAGAAAAACAGAGTCGATTTTTTTTTCTTCAAGTGAATGCAATACGCCTCCGTACAAACCAACTGCAAACACGACGAAAACACAATGCACAAACACACAACAATACACAACAGCTAAAGCAGACGCTTGGCATGTAAAAGCTTTTGACAAACCAAATCATGCTGGCCTTTATATAACACTCATATATCATCAGGTGCAGAGAGAGAGAGCAGCTTCTCCGCCTATAGATTTCTACATTCATTCAATTTAGCATATTATCAGCAACTCGACGTTAAATTTAACACTCTCCCACACTCTAAAAAACAAAATGTGGGAGCACGTTCTTGTTTGCCAATTTTTAGATAAACCATGTGAGCATAAACAAACAAATAACATTTGTTTTACTTATCAGTGGCTTCGACAAATATGCAAATTTTAATTGGGAGGAAAAAAAGGCCTGGGTTGCAAAATACCGAATTGTCCACTCAGCGTCTATTTTAACAAAAGCATCACTTTGCGTTGATGAAGAGACGAGAAAATTAGGTTTTCATTTTAATGAGGTTGAGAGTGCTCTCTGATTAGAATATTGACTTAAACATCTCTTTGCAGAATGTCGCTTCCTATAGTTTTAAGAACAAAAGTAATAACGTTAGGGGAAATTACATTTGGTAAGCAATGTTTAGTTTGACTCCCATACTTGTCTCTCTGTAGGGCTCTTAAAGGACAGCATGGAAAAAGGAAAGAGAAAAAGGTACAGGTAAGCATTCACAGTGACAGCTCAAATAGAACATGCACACAGATTAATGAAGCGCAGGTAAATGGTTACACTCAACCCCATCGTTTCACCTCTCAGACACACACCCCCGCGTCCCCTCGCAATCCCAGGATGCACATGTAAATGCCATAAAATTGGGCTTTAAAGACCCTGAATGTCTGGAGGCCGCCGAAATGGGCTTCTGTCTCCATTAGCGGTGCGCTCCGCTCCGAACATGGTTCCACAGTCAGACTTGTATTCGGTAAGAGAGTTATTGATCGGGCTAAAGAGGAACATTAAAAGTGGCCTGGGATCTATTCGTAATTTCAGGGCTTTTATTGATATTAGATTTCAAGGTCGCTACAATGTTGTCAACGTAGATGAAGAGGTTGTTATCCTGCGCTCGCCCCTCCCCGCTGACGTTGCTCAGAAACGCGGCTGTCTCTCTGTCTCTAGAGCCTTTTGAATCTTTTCTGATCTCTGCATTAGTGAAGGTGGCACTAACAGGTGGTGACGGTGGGGAAAGCAGATCACCAACAGACAGACAGAAAGAGACAGCTACGTGCAGGGATGCGTTATTGCTAACAGGAGAAGCCAGGCCTCCTGCGAGCATCTCAGCATGAGAGTGCAGTAAATTCCAGTTCTAAAAGAACGAGCTGGACGTATGAAGTCTTGCTCTGAAAACTGATGTTTTTGCATGCAGCCCTACGGAACGATATTCTTATTAGTGCTGTGAAATGCCACAAAAATCTCACAGTCCAGAGCCTTCCGAATGAGACGCATTAGACTGCCTTTGCTGATTTCATCTTGTGATTCGGCATTAATGCATGTGTAAAATTGCATTCGTATTTTTTTTTTCTACATGAAAGGGCTTGTTTACACCTGGACACTTCATGCATTATTACCGATTGGATAAATATCTGATTTCTTAAATATATTCCATTCACATTTGGCCACATAAATTGATCTCCACAAAACTAATATAAACTCCTGCACTATTTTTAAATTGAACAGAGTTCACGTTAACAAAAGCAACAGAAATGAGCAATTCTGACTTTTTTTTTCTCACAATTGCGAACACGCAATTGCGACTTTATATCAAGCAATTCTGACTTTACATCTCGCAATTCTGAGAAATACAGTCAGACTCGCAATTTAGAGATAAAAAGTCTTATAAAATCTATACAAAATTTAAAGGATTAGTTCACTTTTGAAAAAACTTTTGCTGATAATTTACTCACCCCCATGTCATCCAAGATGTCCATGTCATTCTTTCCTCAGTCGAAAAGAAATGAAGGTTTTTGATGAAAACATTCCAGGATTTTTCTCCTTATAATGGACTTCCATGGGAACCAGGTCCAACCGAGGTCCAAACGACAGTTATAACAGTTACAGATGCAGCTTCAAATGTCTTTAAACGACACCAGACGATGAATAAGGGTCTTATCATGCGAAACGATCGGTTATTTCAAAGCTTATTCCAAAAATGTAACTTTTCTAAGGACAAATGCTAGCCTTTCTCCATTCTGTGAGGCGCGTTTGTAACGTCACGTAATACGTAATTACGTTCAAAAGGTCACGGGCGACGTAGCCAGAAGTACAGAGTCAGAACAATAGTTGTTTACAAGTTGAACGCATAGGTTGAACGTGAAAACTAACTCAAACGCCGTTTACAAAAAAGGAATTAAAAGGTAAAACAACGATGTCGGACGATTTTGATTCTGTACTTCCGGCTACGTCGCCCGTGACCTTTTGAACGTAATTACGTATTACGTGACGTTACAAACGCGCCTCACAGAATGGAGAAAGGCTAGCATTTGTCCTTAGAAAAGTTACATTTTTGGAATAAGCTTTGAAATAACCGATCGTTTCGCATGATAAGACCCTTATTCAACGTCTGGTGTCGTTTAAAGACATTTGAAGCTGCATCTGAAACTGTTATTAACTGTCGTTTGGACCTCGGTTGGACCTGGTTCCCATTGAAGTCCATTATAAGGACAAAAATCCTGGAATGTTTTCATCAAAAACCTAAATTTCTTTTCGACTGAGGAAAGAAAGACATGGACATCTTGGATGACATGGGGGTGAGTAATTTATCAGCAAAAGTTTTTTCAAAAGTGAACTAATCCTTTAATTATGTGACAGAAACAAACTTCCATAGGTATATCACTCTCATACTTTTATTTTCTTACTATTTTGAGAGGTGTAAATTGTGCATATGTGGCTTTGGCAACCAGATACATTTACACTTGCCCATTTCCATCTGGAATGTTTCTCAGACCAAATCCTGAAGTGGTTTGAGTGATTAGATTTAGGGTGTATTCACACCAGGAAAGTCCGATAGTTCACTTGCTTTGGTCCGGACCAAATAAATTATTATTATTTTTTTTTTGGTACGGTTCGCTTTCACACTGCTCTTTTTGCAAGTGAACCAAAATTTGTAAACCAAACCACACGTGTGCTAAGGTCGTCCATTCATTGGACAAGGATTCTCAAGGGAAATCAGGAAGTGCAAAAAAGGCTCGCATGGAGATATTTCATACTGCAATATTTGTTCTTTTACTAATTTTATGTTAATTCTGTACAAACGCAATATGAAGAAACTAATGAGTATCATATGATACAATGTCATCTATACGAAGTTGTAATTCGGATTTTGAGAAGACGACGAGTGTAACGTTTGAGTGGCTCTAAACGCGGGGAAATACGTCAACTTTTGTCTCTCGTGCTTTTCATTCGACCACCTTCTGTTTTTTTTTTTTTTTTATCTCTGGGCAACATCTCAACTTTGCGTTACAAGTGGCACTGCACAGAAGACGGAGAAGGTATAAAGTTTTCATTCATAGAGAGGGGCTATGGTCACTCATTCAAATAATGAGATTCTTATTGTGTACTAACAAGTGCTGTCAATGTTAATGCTTGCGATTAAGTTTGTCCAGTTTAACATAAATTAACGCATCATCATCCTTGTATTGTAACTATCCTTACATTAATAATAATAATAATAATTCATTACATTTATATAGAATTTTTCTCGGCACTCGCTTTAAGGGGGAAACTCGTCAACCACCACCAAAAGGTGGTGAACTGCAAATGCTTTATGAACTGCAAATGATATTTTTTTTGCATCTTTGCGCGATTAGACATTCACACACGACGCGCAGAAAGACGCGCAATATTCTCTTTCGACGCAGTGCTTTCTTGCAATTGGGTCGGTTCATGTTCACACCGTAAACGAACCGTACCAGAGTTCGTTTGGAACCGTACCGAGACCACCTCTTCAGCTGGGTCTCGTTTCGGTTGTTCGGTCCGCACCCGAGTTCGATTGCTGTATTCACACCTGCCCAAAAGGTCCGCACCAAGGGGGCAAACGAACTAGAGTTCGATTCAATCGAACCAAACAAGGCAGGTGTGAATACACCCTTAAAGAGTTGGTCTTTTCATGATCGGATAGCTATCAAATCAGAGAAAAGGCATGAAGTGACCAGGTATAAACAGGCCCGAAAGTACTTAACCCATACTCGCCCTGGAATGCTAGGCCTCCTGAGAGCATTGCAGCATTTCTAGTCTTTAGGTGTAAGAATTTTTACAGAGTATTTTGTATGCAAGGAGCACATTTTTTGTTTTCAGTTGCATCAGTGCACTGACAGGTATCCCACAATCTAGAGGAAATAGATTGTGACAGAATTACTGTCCAAACCCTTTTGCCTGAGACATGTTTTTAAAAGAGTGGACGGTTTTGTCTTGTGATTCAGCACTCATGCATGATTAAAGTGTGGATTCGCATTTCTGTCAAGAAAAAGTCGTTATCCCTTGCTGGTTCTGAAATGCCCGCCAAATTATACTATTTCAAATTCTATGAAATAGTGGGTTTCTAGACTGTGGATGAGTAAAGTCTTACTGACTGCACATTCATTGTTTTTAGTTGCATCAAGTCTAGTGTAGCTGTTAAAACCCATCAGCATGTGACACATTGGTGTGACGTGACTTTAAAGATGAACTGAACTGAAATTTGAGAAAAAGTGATATAACAGATGTATTTTATTTATTCTCATTGGTACAATTTTTAAAATGGCAGAATTTGTTAAAAGGGATAAAATGGTACATTGAAAGTGTTGTTTTTGTTACACGGGCGCCGCCATGTTGGATTTCAACGTTCGACCACGTCACTGGCATGGTAAGCCACTCCGTTGCCTACCCGCACCAGCAGAACAGCCGTAGCTTGTAAACAGTCTGAGGCTAGCTGACATGGCTGAGGAAACTGATTTTTTAGCGACACACTATTTAGAGATATGTACTTTCGTCAATGAGTACACGAAACGTCTGACAATGCATGAAATGTTTTATTTACACAAGTTCAATGCATCACGTTAACGTTACTCGAATCCTTGATATTCGGGTGAGGGGGAAAAGATCCTTGATGTATAGTTCACTGTAAAGGATGGGATTCTCCTTCCTAAATGCACCCTCGCCCATAGAGTGAACTGCCAGTACGCTGTTAATCTAAACAGTCTGAGAAAAGTGCAACAAGTTAGCCCAGCCGTCACCTATTCGTAAAATACCCTGCTACTTATGGGGCGGTCCAGCGTCTCAGCTCGGACATCCATTAGAGACAGCATAGCCTCCTTCAACACGTTTCTCTCACCGAACAGCATCCGAAATGAACCGTGCATGGTGATGCATTTTTCGCCGATCAATAAATGTCCATGTTGACCTCTCTGCAACTGATCGTCTCCGTGCAGTGTCTATGCTCCACAGCGCTCGCGCCCACAGTCACTTTCCCCCAAACGATCCTGTACTGCAAGTGAAGCCTGAAACTGATCGTCCTCCATGTGGTGGTAGTTAGACACTACCGGCCTGTCCCTCACGGGCTCAAATGCGTAATCCATGCCGATAAAAGTGCTCATTTTCGTCTGTGTATACAGGACCTACAGCTGTTGTCTATGGCGCTCCGCGGGTCCTACCATGCCAGTGACGTCATCGCCAGCGCTAACAAGCGCAATTTTGCATTGCTTAAAAAAGCTGTATTAATATATATTTTTAAAAAATGTTTAGTGTAATTTACTTTTAATTGTCATAAACAACACGTTTTCGACGTCGATATTTTTCAGTTCAGTTCATCTTTAAGAGTGGGTGATTTTATTTTATTCTACGATTAGGCACTAATAAGTCGCATTTCGTAGTGCCGCAAAATGTAGCCATAAGTTACTATGATTATTTCAGCTTTATGAACTCGTTTTTCTTTGGGAACCACGTTACTGCAGACCATACTAGACACAAGACAAAGATGATCGCAGACACGTTCAGCTTGAAGCCACATAACGGAGCCCTTTCCTCCCAAAAACACCCACACCCACACCCACACACACACACACACACAGTTAGTGCATAGGAAGTTAAAGCAACGGAAGAATGCAGCACACCTTGAGCGTTGTACATGCTGAGAGTGGGGTTGTTATAGACTGATGATTCGCCCAGTAAGGTGTTATAGGGGTTGTTAGAGGCGTGTGAGCGCAGCAGAGAGTTTGGGATGAGGTGATTGGCCATGGCACCTGATGCAGCCACACAGATGGAGAGAAGAACACACAGAGAAGATCAAACGAATGCAGCAACAATGTTAGCATTGTTATCATACAGACGTCTCATCAGCAGCCACAGAAAAAAGCAAGAACGTTTGACCAATGTTAGCATTCTTATCTCTTCAGAGACAATGCAAATGTGTCTGTTGTGGAAGAGACCTGTTCCTGGATTAAATGGACCATCTCCTAGTGGGCTTAACTATAGTCGGCTACTGAGTTTATCACATCTTTTCCTCTTCCTTTGTTTCTGTTCATTTAAAAGTTGTCAAAACAGTATTTGAGCAGATATACATATTTAAAGTGTATTCTTAAAATTGTAACTCTGGTACAAAGACCAAAACATGTTTAAGACTCATCTTGTACTTTGCGTGTATAGATTTGATTTCAAATGTATGGAGCCCATTTCCACAACATAGCTTAGCAGGAAAGAAAAATCATGATTTGGTAAAGTATGACCCAAGTAATATGACATAGAAAGGCACAATTATGAGATTACAAGTAAAAAGACTCAATGAGATTAAAAGTCAATCATGACAACAAAAAAAAAAACTACAAAAAAACAGTTTTTATTTAATAATTATCTCACAATTTTGATTTGATCTCATAACTTGGAGACTTCTATCTACCTTTATCTCATAATGACTATATCTCATATTTGTGATTTTATAAAAGCATGATTTTTTTTTCTTATGTGGCAAAATAGGCTTTCATAAGATTAAGATTGTCCCTCCTCCTAATATAACTAACTGAACACCTGACTAGCAAAAAAGGTTATGATGAAAATAAAAGTATAGTGGCTTTTAAAAAAAGGGACAACCCCTTTATATCCCACTCAAACTTCCTGTAACACAGAAAATAAAACTGTCCTCATCAAACCATTTCATAGGGTGTTTATAATTTGTAGAACAAATGAATTTTGGGAATGTATTTAAAGACAGAACCAATCTGAAAGGCTGTTAGCACACATTAGCATGCTGACAAGTTGTATCTCTCCAAGAAGTTCGGTCTCAAAATCCATCCCCTTTAAAGAACAGCTTTTGAAGCAAATTCTCCTCCATCTTCTTCATTTTTAAGACAATTACTGTTGGATTGAAATTGCCTGCAGTGAGCAGTGTTCCTATTATTATGCATAATCTCTCGGCAGGCTAACAAAGAACCTGTGCGCACCGTTTTCCACTAAATTGGATTACCTGATTTTCACCCGAGTTCTACATCACCCGCCTCTTGAATGTTTGTTTAATAAATATTTAGCTAATTGCTAATTTGATGACACTTTTATTTAACAATAAGAGTCTAATCCTTTCAGCCCAGAGCTCGGTTTTTAACCGACTCAGTAAGACTTACTGTTTGATTCTCCAATTAAAATCATGTACAATATGAGCTCATTTATTAAACAGAGGTTTGGTTGTGATTATCAGTGTAGGCACGTTTATTATACTGTCGGCTAATTATACACCTCTGAAAATCATATGCTGAACACTGAGATAAGCACCTTCAGTTCAGATATATGGCAGAGAGAGAGAGAGAGAGAGAGAGAGAGAGAGAGAGGTTTGCAGTGGAAATGGTTACATTTGACGTGCAGTGTTTGAGCCAAAGGTCCTGACCTTTAATTGAAAATATGTAATGATATTCATTTTTAAATGCACTTAAAAATGAGTTGAATTTCATGAGCTAAATAATATAATTCACAGAAACGCGTAAACTCAGATATCTTGTATGATTTAAAGTATTATGGTAGCACTTTACAGTTTTGCATATATATTCTGTGTACTATTATAATTTTAATTATAATACCGGACAATAACTAATAATACCCCTATTGCTACCTTATATTACTTTCTTAAACCATGTTGTTACTTTATATTACTCTGTTCTTTCTGTAAGTCTAAGTGCTGTAATTGCACATACTGTAAATGGAAGTGCAACCTTACATCTACTGTTTTCTTTAAGCATTCAGATGCATTTTCACACAAATTTTACGCAACTGTTGCATTTGTTTCTTGTTTTTCTTTACCTTTAAAAAAAGACTAAAGGGATAAAAGTGCAGTTTCATGTCTATCCTTGTATTTTTCAACTGGTTGAAGTTAAAATCGGATTTAGAATGTAGTAAGTTATCCAGTACTTTTTGGAGAGAGTAATTACTATTGTAATCTAATTACACTGCTGAACCTGTAGATGTACTTTAATTACTTTTTTTTTAGAGTAACTTAACACTGGTTTTAAAATGTAAATTTTTAACTCTTCCCTGCCATTGACAAGTTTTTTTTTTTAGCAATACATGTTTTCATTGTTATATATGGAGCGCTGTTTCACATCTTTTCAAATTCTAGAGAATCTCTGGATCCAAAAACAAGCGAAAAAAAAGGAAAAGATATGCATAAACCAGAAGGAGCGGATAGAAGTCACTTACGCACAAGTAATACGATCATGGACCAATCAACAGCTTACAAATCAAAACTGCTTAAGATTAATGAATAAAATGAAAATGTGCAAGCTTTGCGGGTGTTGGTGGACTCAATCTACTCCATCTGTTTTAATCATCATTCTGAATCCGATCCAGACGAAGTCTTTGACAAAAATGTGATTTTCTTGAAAAAGAATGCCTTTTGTTCTAAATGTTTTTGGTTTTGTTTTTTACTTGCCCACATTCACGTGTTGATAAAAAATGAATTAAACTAGATTTTTTTTTAAGCAGAGGTTCCTTCTTTTGTTTACATATTCATCCATCAAAATATTCAGAATATGCTAAAAATCCTGGCACTGGTAGGCAAACTTAAAGATAAAATGCTGGTGGGGAAAGAGTTAAAGGTAGAGTTAGTCTGTAGTTATCAGAATTAGCTTAGTGTATTTAAATGAATAGTCTTGTGACTCAAACATGGGTGGGTGACAGGTGGGTGACCCAAACGTGTGTGTATATTGATGAGTGTTGTGGTTTCTCTGTATGTCCCTCACACACTCTTGCTCATCTTTGTTTAATGCATCTGTCAGCTCTGAGCAGCATGAGTGATGGAGCGCCACACACACACACACACACACACACACTGGGTTAAGTGCCTAATTATTTCCATAGTGACACTTCCTCTCTCTAGAGAGGGTCAATCCATCATCATAACAGAACATTAGCGTCTCAATGATCAGAACAGGAACAGAGACCGAAGAGACAGACAGAGGGAAATCAACTTTATAGAGGCATCTGAAATTTAGAACGACTCAAAGGAGATCTTCATTCTAGTCTGTGTGAGTTTAAGAATAAAATTGCTCTCATAAGTGAGCTAAATCTGACAAATTATCATTCGACTGGAAAAATGGGTCATGCATTGTCATTTTTCAAAAATAAAACTTAAGTCTGTGGAAATCTATTGACATTTCTTAAATGGTTTAATGACACTTTCCACAAAAACACAAAGGTCATTTTTAAATATCACATACAGATTCTTGAATTTATCCAAAAATACATTTATAGAACATAATTTAGAGAATTTGTTTAACATGTAATTAATTGTAGAAAAATAATCTTTTTAATTATGACCAGTTTTTATATTTATTCAAGTTAAACTAAAACCATAAAAAACACGTCTTGGTTACGAATGCAACGAATGCAGGTCCTATTACTAATCTGGCGAATGTGTTGGGTGTCGCTCAGCCTGCAGCTCAGCAGATGCCTGTTAAGCGAGGCACCATGCGCTAGTGCCCAAGAGGATGCCACACTCCAATCGAGTGGGCAGTCACACCAAGGGGGCACGGTCGACCTTGCTGCTGGTATGTTAAAGCAATGGTGTCCACTATCCAGTGGGAAAGCCTTTGCTTGGAGAGAGCCTTTCCCTTCAGCTTCCCACCATAACAGACAATGAGCTGGTCTGAGGGACTGAAACACTGCATCCTGTCTACGTAGGCACGGATATCGCATAATGGACAGATCAGTGCCAAGGCTGGGTATGCCTCCTCCAGTGGCAGCGCTTGCAGGTTCACCACCTGTTCCCGGAAGGGAGTGGTAGGAACTTTGGGCACAATACCAGGCATGCTTCGCCTACAGAATATGCGTGCAGGTCCCCTACCCTCTTAATGGAGGCCAATGCAACCAGAAGCGCTGTCTTCATTGACAGGAACTTAAGCTCCACTGATTGCAGAGGCTCAAAGGGAGCACTCTGCAGGGCAGTTAGAACCACTGAGAGGTCCCAAGCCATCAGCTGAACTGACTGGGGACGGAGTCTCCATTCTCCAGGAAGAGGCTGAAGCCGTGAGAGCTCATCCGCTGCACAGATCAGGTCTCCCGGAATATAATTGGCTCGAAGCGACCTCAGATGCTTCTGACTCCATAAGAGGTGGTGGCGGGTGAGTGGCGACATACTGCGGGAGCTAGCAACTCAAGGCAATTGACATGCCATAGGCGCTGGGGTCCTGTCCAGGAGCCCGCGGCAGCATGTCCATTGCACATGCTGGAAGCTCGTTCCAGAGGCACTCCAGCCTGTAGAAAAGGGCGTGGTTTGAGGTTTGACCACAGGATGAAGGTCAAATAGCAGGTCGGAGTAAAGGGTACTCGGAGCACGGCGTGTTGCCATGCCCACCTCGGGACCATGCCCAGTTGCGAAGCCAAAGCTGAAGTGGTCTCATTTGAAGCAATCCGAGTGGCGTTGCCACGGCTGCAGATGCCATTTGCCCCAGGAGCCTCTGAAATAACTTCAGTGGAACCGCACTCTTGCGCTTGATTGCCAGGCAAGTCAACAGTGGCTGAATGGAGAAGGTGACCGAGTCGAAACCGAGAAAAGAGAAAGGACATAAGAGTAAGTATCCTTCAGGTCGATTGCTGCAAACAAATCCTAGCGGGGCATGGTCAAACCTCACCTTGACGGAGGACGCCAGGGAAGGACCAGCGTTCCAAGGGGGTCTGGCGACAGAGCAGGATGAGAGTGGTATGGCCCGGGGGCAGCACACACTATCATCCGAACTCTGGGACAGAGGAGGATAAGAGTGGCGAGGTTCGTAAGCAGCGCGCACTGTCATCCGCGCCCTCTGGGGGCTCAGAGATTGGATGCAGGAGGGAAGGAGTGGGGGAAGGAGTAGCCCTGCAACCACTTCCTGAAAGAACTGCAACCCACGTCTGAGCTACCCATAACGGGAGCACCGCATCGCCAGACATTCAGGGGGGTTGCAGGGCTGATATGGGCAGGGGCACCTTCCTGCGACCACCTCCACAGTGTGGCCCGGTGCTGCTAGGACTGGGCGGGAGGGGGCGGAAGTCGCAGGAGGGTGCGTTCGGCGACAAATGGACTGAGGCTTCTGAGCTGGCGGCTGGTTGGCAGCAGATGGCCGTGGGGTCAGACAAGTTTGGTAGCCACAGTCCATCTCTGGGCGGTCGAGAACCGTTGGGCAGTCCTTGACCGCACCGCCAAAGAGGCTAGCCTGGGATATGGGGGAGTTGAGGAAACCGGTTCGCTCAGCCTCACGCATATCAACCAGGTTAAGCCTGAGATGTCTGACCACATATGAGGACATCACCTGACTCAGGGACTGTGCGGTCAATTTTGTCGCTCGTAGAGCAAGGTCGGTGATAGCACACAGCTCAAGGATGAGCCCTGAATCAGCCCTACCCTCGTGCATGACATTGAGCACCCAGAAGTATGGCAATAACATGCAGTGAGGCGGCAGCCTGCCCCGCAGCTCTATAGGTCCTTGCCACCGGAGTAGACAAAAACCTACAGGCATTGGATGGGTGCTTAGGATCGCCACGCCAGGTGGAGGTGCTGTGGAGGAACACATGTATTGCCACAGAACACTACATGGGGGGAGCCCCAGTGTACCCTTGGCCACAGCTTCTGTGAGGGCAGAGAAGGCGGAAGAGGCCGCTGAGCAGTCGCGAAAAGTCAAAGGAGACTCCCACGATCTCATGACCTCTTCATGCACGTCCGGGTAGAAAGGATTTGGGTTCGCCACCCCCAAAAACCAATCATCAGCCTTAAGTGCTCAGGACAAAAGCAACATTTATCATTTCAGTTTCGTTTATTTGTATTAAACTAAATTAAAAAAACGACTACAACTAAAACTGAAATAAAAATTTGTTCAATAAAACCTATATAGACATAATGAAAAACAAACTAATAATAAAATGACACACAACAGAATGACTAAAACAAAATAAATAAATAAATAAAATTTTATATATATATATGAAGAGTTCAGATGCAAAAGCCTCTAAGTGCCATTTGAAATTTTCTTCTAGAATGATCATTTTTATCAAGCTTGTATATTTAAGTTCAGTGATTTCACTTAAATGGCAATGATAATTACCTATTAATTGTTATTTAAGTGAAATTACTGAACTTAAATATACAAGTTTGATAAAAATCATCATTAAAGAACAAAATTTCAAATGGCATTTAGAGGCTTTTGCATCTGAACTCTTCAATTGTATATCAAGGATACTAAAATGACACTGACAATTACAACCTGACCTATTTTTGACTTGAATGCATTTGTCAAGTTCAACAATTCACTGACCCTTTGTAGAGGAAAAAAGAGAACATTTTATGTCCCTATTCTTTATGCTATTTGTGGAAAGTGCCTCATTTCCTTCCACTACAAGCAGCATGCTTCTGCAGTTGCAGTGTCTTTTGTATCTCTTGACTGGATGGTGCGAATTAGCCTGAGATGTTTGAAAGCATCTGCTGTCCTGTCCTCTCCAATTGCAGTGTTTTTACTGAGGGAATGAACTGTCTGAGCTCTGACGGCTCGACGCTCTGCAGTATTGAGCCTACAGCTCATAGCTGTCATTTCACTCAAATGGAAATGTTTCATTTTAAGATATGCCGTACTCCATACTAAATCCTCATCCACCTGTGTACCTCTCTTTTACACAACATACAAAGAGTTTGGAGGAACATGAATGTAATCTAAATGTAAATTAAATGAGCTTCATTACATTATGCTAACAATTATTAAAACAGTTTTGAGTTTAACATGTAGGACTTGGTTTTCTTTTATATTCTCTCATTATCTCAACACACTGTCATTTACTTGAAAAAGTTGGTAATGTTTAATTACCTCATTTCTTTTTAACCTTTTACTTTACTGGCCATAAACAGACTTATTTCCATTTTCTGTTTTTTTTTTATTTTTTTTTATCGAACTGAATTAAATTAGCATTGCAGATGAATTGAATGAGAAACTCAAAGACTATATTTACTTTCTAAATGTTTAATGTATTGAATATCAGGATTAAAAAGATCCTCATTAAAGAAACATACCCGCAGTTTTAAGTTTTATCTGTAGACACAAAATCTTTTGAAATCTTTTCTGCACTGATTTCAAACATGCAATTATATGGGACAGGAATTCTGCAGGCGCTGGTTAAATTCTGCTTGATGTCAGAAGGTTCAGACCTTCGTTCAGATTTTATGACCTGATTTTGAGTTCTGGAATTCTGTGGCATGAATACAAATATTCTGAAACAGAGCTGAGAGCACTAAACTTTGTGTGAAAATTTTGTACATGACAGAACTATGGAAATGTCTACAGAATTCCCCAAGTGCAGATTTAAAGTGCACATGGTTTAATGCTCTTGAGAAAAAGAAGTACACTTAAGCATACATATATTGCTTAATATACTTAATATAATGAAGTGTGAACTGCATGTAATGTTTTCAGACACTTAATGCAATGTTATTTGCAAATAAATAAATTATTAGTTCAAATGTATATTACATGCAATTAGTTTTGAGTTTTTTTGACCCACTTCAGTAGGACTTTAGGACATGTTTATGTGTAAATTTATAATTACTTCTGTACGTCTTTAAAATATGGTTAAGGTTAAAGCTGAATGTACTGAAAAGCATTCATCGTAAACAAAAAACACTTCCTTTTACAGTACAATACTTACAGTGTACTTACCTAGAAAGTACATGCTAATATAAGGTAAGTACATGGAACAGGGGTAGGTTATTACCCAGTAATTGTAGTTACTAAAATAAGTACATAGTATTGACATGGGTAACTGGACTGTAAAAGGAAGCGTTACTGAAATTCTATCGTACTTAAATACATTTGTTATTACATATTGTAATGTAACGAATATGCAATTTAGAACACTTAAAAAACATTAACTGTAAATGTAATATTCAATAACACACTACAGTTATTATTATAATCAAATACTTTACTGTACATGTTCTTTAACATATTAAATTAGTGATTCAAAGTATCACTACACAAGTATTTACATCATGCAGATGTAAATTAGCCTAAGGCTAACTCTGGTGTAATGCATCAAATGTTTACATTTATGTTATTAATTGCACATGGTCCCTTTAAATAAAATCAATACAATACAAAGTCACATCACGGTTTGAAATCGCAGGTGTTTCTGACGTCACAAACTATCTTGTAACCAATCACGTCAACGTGCGATCCTCTACGAGTGGATCTCTGAGCTGGTGTGAGTGAGTGAGTGAGTGAGTGAGTGAGTGGAGCCGGGGCTAATTTGCATATTCATAGAACCGAGTATACGAAATTAGACAAGGGTGAAGAGTTACATTCAAGCTATTTTAAGGCATGAAGCATATTTTTTTATGGAAAAAAAACATTTAAATATGTAATTTTGGTGATCAAAGATTTTTAGGGGATACAATTATTGACTACAGAGGGATTACAGGGCACTACTAGTGCACATTCAGTACAATTATATGCACTTTTTTTCACAAGGGTGGCAATCACCCTGCGACAGCATAATAGCCATACATGCTTGTGTGTGTTTGTGTGTACCTCTGTTGAGTGTCGCGGAACTGTTGATGTCTCCAGCCATGAATGAAGACTCTGACTGCTTCCTCACCGTGTCATTCCACATCCGGCGGATTCGGCTCTGTGAAGAACATCAGAGTTTCACGCACACGATATGATCAAGTCAAGTCAAGTCGTCACCTTTATTTGTATAGCGCTTTTTACAATACAGACTGTTTTAAAGCAGCTTTACAGTGATAACACGGGGGGGAAAAAGTATCATTACCCAGCTTAGTATTGATTCATTTCTGTTGAAAAAAAAGTGATTAATTTGGTTCAGTTATCTATACAGTCGCTCTAGAGAAAACCGTGATGTCATCGGCCAGGTCAGTTCCATTCTCATACAATGGTGTCAATGCAGGCAGATCAGTAATATTGTTGAATATTAAGTTTCCCCAAATAAGCAAGCCATAGGCAACAGTGGCAATGAACCAAAACTCAACGAGGTGACAGAATGGAGAAAACGAGGCTCAGCCATGCGGTGTCCGATTTGAGCAGTCCGAACGAACTGTTCATTTGAGTTGGATCTTTGCAATGATTGCAATCTGCTACACAAAACTTATCTGAATGATTCGTTCAGAAATCAAACTGAATAGGTTTTCAAACTCTTAAAAATAAAGGTTCAAAACAGTGATGCCGTAGAAGAAATATTTTTTTGCTACGACAAAGAATCGTTCTTAAAAGAACCTTTTTTTTTTTTTGTAGTGTAAATAACATTTTAAAGCAACACCAAGTAACTTTTCCTCTGTGGTCGCCCTACAGGTTGGAAGCGGAATTGTGATAAAATAATGATTATTTGTAACACTTGACGTAAAGTCAAATTTGTAGTTTTCTTATGTCTACAGAACTACAGAAACGCGACAAGATCTTACATAGCGAGGTTATAGCAGATATAGGACCGCAAAGCGAATCCAGAAGTGCCTTTCACCCTTTTACGAATGAATGAACAACTGAAACGATTTTGGAAACATATTTTTAAGGTAAAATATCTAACTTAGTGTTGCTTTATTAATCTAAAATACCTTTTTTCCACAATAAAGTACCCTTTAAAGAGTGGAAAGTTTCCATGGATGTTAACATTCTTCATGGAACGATCAATGCCAATAAATATCCTTTGTTTTAGAGGGTGTCCATTCTTCAAAATATCATTCAGGTTTGGTATGGCATGAGTGTGAGTAAATGACGACAGAATTTAAATTTTTTGCATGAACTATCCCTTTCAGCTTAACTGTTTATTCTACCTAAAATGCTTACAATGTATTGCAGCACATAAAAAAAGAAAAGAAAAAAAAAATAGCTTGAATAAGGATAAAACAAAAATCCTCTGGACGTGAAATGTTGAGCCGTTTAAAGCACATTACTCATCTGGCTGACATTTACACGCACACACACACGGGTCATGGGTCTACAAAATGTGTTTCTGGTGCATGTCAGATTCTTGTTACATGTTTGCAGATATCACAGCAGATGACCCCTAAAAGGCTAAAGGTCAAATTGTAAACCTTGTCTCCATAGAGATAATATAACCAGACAAATTGTTACCATGGAAATAAGACATTAAAGCACATCTATGTAAAGCCAAAGATTTGTATGAGACAAGGACAGCACACAATAGAACAGCTCTCTTCAAAGCAAACTACGTTCAGCTAAAGGACAGAATTGGAAATGTGAAATTGGGAGGTTTTCTCTTTATATTATCAAATTCTTTGAGCTGGGATTAAGTTCATTTTAAAAAAAGTCAACCTTGCTTTGGCTATAAAACACTACAAGACAAAAAAATATATAAAATAAAATATACTGTGTATAAATATATCAATATAATATCTGCCAAAATGTGTAATAAACTCTTATTTTGAAACAGACTGTATTGTAAAAAGCATATGCGAATAAATGAATGGTGTTTCTTATTATGCAATGTGCTTGTGCTTGAAAATTTAACTTTCACAAGACATTTTAGACCAAATTTGATTAAAAATGTAAAATATCCATATTCTGAATTTTTTTTTTTTTGGAATTAAAATAAAATATATAAAATCATATTAAACACAATTAGTTTTGAGTTACTGAAATATGCTAAACTGAATAAAATGAAACAAAATAAGGAGGTAAGACAAGGATATACGGTAGAATAAGTACAGTAGATATAGTAAGTAGCATAATGTACTGCATTCCTAACCATCACTCATTCACACTGCTAAACATGCAAAATGTTGCTTCAAACACAGCATATCACTAAGTTGAGTTGATCAAGTGTGTAGTGTGAAAAATTATAGGGCTGATAGTTACTTGTTCATACTGTAACTGTGATGAGTTTGTCATACAAGGCGGGTGGTGAACCTTGTGATGAAAGAAGAAGGAAAACAAGAAACAAGAAAAAGAGACAAAGAGAGAGAGAGTGAGAGAGAATACACACACATGGACACTCACAAAATTGCATTTTAGCCTTGTGTTGCTGTGTGCGTGTGTGTGTGTATACTGTATGTTACCCGTCTACCTGTGATGCTGAGGAATATCGTCCAGGTCCACGCGACGAGGAGCTTTTCACCGAACCCATAGACGACTCCACACTCTTCCCAGTGTAACAGTGGGTCCGAAGGCACTTCCCGTACTCTTTGCGTACCTAAACGCACACACAAGTTGGGTCTTCATATTTTATGGGGACATTCCATAGACAATGATTTTTATACTGTATAAACTGTATATTTTATCCCCTAAACCATTGCAGTAAGCATCACTTATTATGATTTATAAACTGCGACCAAAAAATGAATAGGGATTTTGGAAATTGATAGCTTTGTGTGGATTTTGTCCCCATAACACACACACACACACACACGCACGCACGCAAGCAAACACTATGCCCATTAAACTATCCAACTGCTGCCATTTGTTGTGTTTTCATTGTTTCATTTTTTCATGGTTTGAATCAGGAGTGTCACCAGTGCTGCCCCAAGTGATATAAGGTGTAAAAGTTGTTAAAAGTATTTATTACATAATGGCAGAATTTGAAGAGTTTTGTTCACTTCCGAATCAATATATGAGCTAAAAACTGATCTGCACTGAGATGACTTTGGTATCATCTCAAATGTATCAATATGTAGTGAACAAGCCTCTATGTAATTATAAAACATTATAGCTAATCCATTTTAGGGCTGGAATGACAAAACTCTAGAGCAGATGCTAATGACTAGTATGCAGTTCCGGACTCACAACCGCCGCATTCAGCGACAGTATCGGAAATGGTGATGTCCATAACATAGGGAGGATTTATCATAATAAACGAGTCTAATCAAGGCATGAGTTTATCCATCAGATATTTTTTTAAAAAATCAACTTTAAATGCTTAGTAACCGAGTTCAGAGAGTACGTTTGAGCCGTGCACCTCACAGCTCGCACCCACTGCAGCTCCGGTGGATCTGAGGATGAATGCAAATCATTTCTCATTAATCATTAAACTAAACCCTTCATGATTATCCGTCTCACTATGGCTCTCACATTCCATGACGAGGCAGACAACTAGTTGTCCTGTGCGGTTCAATTAATTCAGCACGGGTTTGTCGAGAATGCGGTTTTGAGTCCTGAAAATGTGCAGGTGCCAGTTCGCATATAGAATGGGGCTGTCACGCTCTTATGAACACAACGGCATTAAGCACTGCTGTCGTACTAGCCATTAGCATCTGCTCTAGAGTTTTGTTTTGTGAGAAACATAATGGGATTAGGGATGAACATAAACAGTGCGTAATTGACATAATCGAATTACGTCAATGCATCATTCGAAGTGTTGTTTTAAATAGGCTTTTTTAAATTGTTGATATACTATTACACTATTTATTATTATTTCAAAGTAGATTTTATTTTATATTTTGAGTTTTCATTATAATTTTAGTTTAAGTTTTAGTAGTTTGTGTAGTGTGTTTTGGTCATTTTTATTAGTTTATTTTAATACGATTTTTTAGTTTGTTAAAACGATTGTTATTTTTATTTCTTATGCTTATTGTGATTATTTTATAATTACAGTATTTTAATAACATTTCTACTGTTTGTAAAGCACTTTGAATTACCTTAGTGTATAAAATGTGCAATATACACAAATATGTCTAAACTAAACTAAACTAAACTAAACTAAACTAAACTAAACTAAACTAAACTAAACTAAACTAAACTAAACTAAACTAAACTAGTGTTTGTTTGCTTGGCATTTTTTGGTATGCGTATTGTTTTGTAAAGTATCCATGGTGTTATATTTAAATAAACCAAATAAAACAAAACCGCCCTACTTTTCCACATGTTCAGACGACGGCCCTAGTTCCTATCAAATGTGTATGTGAATATGTTTTTCCAAACCTTCTTCTGCAGGACGCAGTGAAATATGAAGATGAACATGCCCTGCAGGGAGTTAAAGATGGTGAAGAGGTACGCCATGATCACTGTACTCTCGTTAACGTACATCAACCCGAACGCCCAGGTCAGGCCCAGTAAACAGAGCAGTGCTATGGCTCCGATTACCCACGATCTGAAACACACACACACAAACAAACAGGAAATTAGCTCTGAAATCAAATGAGAAAAATGCAGAAATCATTACTCGCAATATAAGACATAAGTGCTAGATCCGTGGCTAAATTGGTACATTTCTATCCAGCTCTCCACATCAATTAAATACGACTTCAGTTAAAGTGAACTCAATTTTCTTCCCCACATATGCTGTTTTATATCTGTGGGACTTTATTTTGCATGGATTTCATTTTAAACTCCTCTTTCCTGACATGAGAAATGAATGAAGAAACTGCCAAGATCCAAAAAGGACAATAGAAGCCATACAATTCAGAAGTTTCACTCGCACAAAAGCTACAAAGCCATCGTTTGACTTCAGAAGACTTCAAATAAAGCGCACAAATCAATTTTATACCACTTTAACGGTTATTATTTGGTCCTTTTTGGAGTTTGATTGGTCATATTGTGCTTTGCAAAACAGAAAAGAGCTCAGACATTTATTCACAGAAGAAAGTCACACAGGTTTGGAGCGACATGAGGGGACTAAATGATTACAGAGCTGTCACTTCTAGGTGAACTGTCCCTTTAAAAACCCTCCAGTATCTCTTCCTGACATTGAGCGCACGCCACCTCACTTCGTGAGAGCTGAATAGATCACGTGTGTCTGTAATGTGTTGTTTTACCCGCGGGTGCTGCAGATCCACCCCACTGACTCCAGCTCAATTTAACATAAAAATTACAGGCATTTACATATGGATAACATCCAATGTACCACTAATGGGACAAACAAACTTCACACTGTTGTCATTAACTATAATTCCAAAAAATAAATACATACAGTGAGCATGTATTTCGGAATTCATATTTGAAATCACCAATGAAACCTGACAACAACAGTCCCATGAATATTGTTTCTTATCCTCAAAGCATTTTTTTTCAGGCTAGATCTGTCAATGAGCATGTGCAGTCAAAAGCATGTGTCTTTTTCAATAAACTTTCACTGCATCTGAAATCGAATACTTCCATACAATGGAGTATGAAAAAAAAAACTCAAATTCGAAAAACAGTAGACGGAATTTCCCCGGATGACCTTCCGGCGAGATTCTGAAGTGCGCATTCGCTGGACACTTTACTATCCCATGAGGCCACAGGAGAGGATTTGAAACACTGGTAGATCACAAGTTTAGAGTCACAAAGTAAGTTCAGAATTAAATGTAGCACCTATATTAGTAATTCCTGACACACCGCATATGTAGCCCCACCCCTTTTCTGTGCTAGTTGAGTTCTGTCTTCCGGTTTGTATTTCCACATCATGAAGGAAAGTTCTTACGGATTTATCAATGAACCACTTGTGTTTAAATCTTCCCCGTCTGATGACATCCGCTTCAAAAACGTATTCTCATAACTTTTGTAAACTCTACAATAAGTAAATCCACTTCACCTCGACAGTGTTGCCATAGAAATATACAGAGCTACCACAAAAATTCGAAAGAATGCTGCTTGTTTCTCAGGCGCAAGGTCTATAGCAACTGGAGCCTCAAAAGTTATAGCTGCAGTGATGCAATAACTTTACCAATCAGCGATTGGCTCTGCTATGTGATGTGAATGTGAATGCAGCCTCTTTGGTATATCTGAAGTCTTTTTGTGGTTTTCAGTGTGTTACCACACTAATGTTCAAAAGTTTGGGGTCAGTAAAATTTGTGTTTGAAACAAATTAATAATTTTATTTAGCAAATGTGCATTCAATTATTAAAACAAAAGCCAGACTTATAATTTTACACAAGATTTTCTATTTAAAAAAAAAAAAAATCCTGAAAAAGTATCAATGTATCAATTTTGTTTCCACAAGAATATTTGATAACTGTTTTCAACACTGATATAATAAGTATAATATATATATATATATATATATTTTTTTTTTTTGCAGAAAATCAGCATATTAGAATGATTTCTGAAGAATCATGTGATTCACGGAATCATGTGACACAGAACAGGAATAAAGTACATTTTAAACATAAAAAAAGTTATTTTAATTGTAAAAATATTCCACAATATTCAACTTTTCAACTCAACTTTTGAAAAACATTTAAAAAATCTTACCGACCACAAACTTTTGAACATTATTGTGTGTGTATGGAAGCTAAGGTACTTGAAAAGGATGTTTTCATGATATTCTTGTTTCTAGATAAAATATATAGTCTATATATTTTTAACCATTTTACTGTCTAATTTTAAAATTCAGAAACCAATCAATCTAAAATCAGCACACATCTTAACAAGACTCATGAATTGAGCAATTGTTCATTTAATAATGACTCAAAAGCATTATGAAAGATGTTTGTTTTTCCCATCACACTGAGAAGCTGACATCTTCAGATGAATGTTAAAATGACTATGTCCTGAATTCCAATGCCACCGCTTCAGTCATAAAACGGACCTTAGGATGAGCTGCACAATACAGAGGGGGAACTTTAAGGACACTGAGAAGGTGACAAGCAGAGAATGAGAAACACACACACGCACACTGTTTGATTGACAGCACTTCATATTGTGCCGTAAACGAGAACGTAAAAACAGGAAGTGAGTGAAGAGGGTTTATTTGCAGTTATGAAGCCAAGCCGAGAGAGAAATATGAGCTGGAGGGAAGGAAAGACGGATCTGCTTACTTAATCTCTGGATCATAATCCTCATAACTGAAGAATGAAATGCGGAAAAAAGAAAAGCAACAGAAAATTAGAATAAATAAATTGACACTTGAGAGCCAAATAGAAGGGAATTGAACCAGATGGGGTTTGATGAGTCCATATGCGTCATAAAATACATCATAACAGCAACTAGAGCTGAGTGATATGAAACATTTCATTTATACTTCACTAATAAAACAGTACAGTAAGAAACATAATACATATTTATACCAAAACAAAGATTGAGATTGAACAACTGGAAAAGAGATATGAAAACTTACTGACTTTAACAGCATTTAAAATCATAGACATTTCTGTTTTTACGCTTAAGGATTGTGAAACTAGGTGCTCTTTAAGACCAAACTCTTTATGAACAAATAAAAAGGGCATTCACATTATTGAGATATTCAAGATGTTGGACAATTTTATATCACAAGCACAATCATTTATCAGAAATATTCCACATTAGGACTGCACAGCGTGGGGGAAAACATCTATCTGAGATCCATCTGATAAAAAAAAAAAAAGTCAATTCCTATATAAAATGTGAAAAAAAAAAATCCAGGTTTGCTGTGCTTATGCTTAATTGTGGTCTGCACAACTAGGCCAGCTACAATAACTACAATTATTATTATTGTATATCCGTTTTATTATTATTCTCATTATGATATAGCCATATTGATTAGCATTATCATTTTAAATAATAACAACAACAATATACTATTGTAATATTTCGCTGTAAAAATATATAATTTAATTTTACATTCCAACTGTAAGATTACAAAGATTAGTAATATTTATGGAGAGCATATTTCATCTCATGTTTGGGAAAATGGTTGTCACATGCTACATTTTTAAATATACAATTTCACATTAAAGCAACTCAAACTGTAGATAGAGACATATGTGGAACAGCATTTACTGTGAACGGAGCCGCTCTGAGACGCTGAAAAAACACCAGCGGATAATGAGCTGTGTAAATGAACACAGTGCCACGCTTCACTCTGAAACACACAACGGATCTATAAATTAGGGCTGGGCGATATGGCCAAAAAATCATATCTCGGTATTTTTTGGTCAAATGGCGATATACGATATATATCTCGGTACTTTCTACGTTTTCTATTTAGATAAAGAAAATCTTTATATTAAAATATATATATATATATATATATACAGTATATTCACATTCGGCCCAATGATATCCTACAAACAATGTTGATATTGAAGGATATGGAAACAAATATAATATAGGCTATGCAATATATTATGTGCAAAAAGCTTTTGTTTTTATATTGACTAAAAGCTAAACTAAAAATGAAAATAAAAACAAAAACAAAAGCACAAACTAATTATATTAGCCTGCATTTGATTACCCCATTATAATCACTTTCACTTTCATTAAACATATATACTTGTAGGTTTAAAATTCCACATATGGCACATTTATTTTCTCCAACAACAAATATTTTAGCAATATGTTTATTTTAGTCAGAATTATTGCGTACTACGTAGTAGGCGGGGTATTCACGCGCATGCGCGCACCGGCGCTCGTTCAAGGAAGCATGAATTTTAGCGGAGATTCACTTGCAGAAGCTCGTCCTCTTCTGACATGGACATATTTGTTGTGAAATGGACATATTTGCTTTACTTTCTAACATTTACAGATGGAGAATATGTGAAATGTAAGTTGAGCACTGAGGAAAGCACCACATCTCAAACGCATTAAACAGCGCAAGTATATCTGTCAGTCAGCAACAGTATCTGTCAGAGCATTTGACAGGGCGGCAAGCTGCCTTAAACTTGTTAACTATATCAAAGTGATTTTGACGCAATTAATATAAGCTTGTGTCATGTTTAGGGCAAATTGTACTACGTAGCCTAGCTACTTTCACTGCAGCAGCTCACACTGCAACCTCCGCTATTTTTCAGATGTGCTCATATCAAACTACTGTATCGATATAAACGGTATTCCATATCGTTTCAAAAAATATAACGATACATCGTACATATTCGATATATCGCCCAGCCCTACTATAAATTAAATTAAATTACACCCTTTATCGAAATTTATAATTATATTAGTGCTGTAGCGGCGCGTCGAAAATTGCGTCGACGTCATATTTTTGCGTCGACGCTTCTTTATTTATTTATTTTTTGCATGTTCCCGACAGTACAGCTTGCCACACACACGTGGGAGACCGAAACATTGCAGAATAGAGGACGAAGATGACTAGAAGTGAATGTGCTATCCATTAAATGAATCACACACAGTAAACAAACCCTTAAGAAAAAAAATTGCAATTTAGACGCGAATCTCGGGCAGATTCGGCTTGAAGTCGTTCCCGGACGCGGCGCCGGGCGCGCTGTTACAAAAAAAGACGTACACACAGCCAGCCACAGTCTTCCTGGTCTTGCGCACCCAACGCGTCATTTTTGGTGTGCGCACATTCGCGCTCGTGCGGACGTGTCGAGTATAAACAAGGCTTTACTCCGTGTCAGCACGCGCTCTGATCAGTAGGTGCACAAACCTCTCCCGATTCATCTCCAGTAATAGCAGCCTCCGATCGCACCCCTAACTCCGCCTCCGTTTCCCTCCTCAGCTGATATTAATATTTAAACATTCTCTATGATAAAAAATGTTTGTAAAAAATATTTTAAATACACGGTTTTGGCGGTTGTAGAGTTATGATGGTGTTCAAATACATAACATTAGATTAACGTTAGCCAACCTATAGTATCTTGATTCAGTATGCTAGTATTTATTAATTGAGCAGAATAAAAAATATTCTTTAGATTAGTCGTCCAATTAGTCATTAGATTAGTCGACTAATCGATAAAATAATCGCCCAACTAATCGTTTAGTTAATAATCGTTTACCACAGCCCTAATATTAAGCAATATTGCCGTTTCATTTGTATTACTATTAATTGTACAGCCCTATTCTATACATCTCCCAGCTCTAACAGTGACATAAACTAACAGTGGCAAAAAACAACGACAAAACCAAACTACAAGTCATAAACAAGATCATCCAATAGCAAACAAACACACACATAGGCAGAGATGCACAGGTGTTGGGGGTAATTACCACACACACACACACACACACACTGAGTTTGGGTCTAATAACCACACCAGGTGCACAACAAAATAAATGATTGATGGAATTAAAGTGGAGACTATTAAACATCATTTTGCAGTGTCCATCTTAATGACAGGGACATTAATGACGATCTGCCCATAAACACGGTAACAACGACTTGGTGCCTGAATGAAGTGTTTTCACAGTCAAGTTCAATAATTATTGTAATTCATAATATGCTTTTTACTGTGTTGTTATTTTGGAATTCAAACTATTACAAATGTTAACATTTTAAGTTTTTGTTAATTAATTAGCAAACCATCACACACCTGCCGGTGATCGGTACGTGGGGGAAAAGGACCAAATAAGTAGGAAAAAAAAAAACTACAAAAAACAAGGAACTCCCGCACACTATCAGTACTTGCAAATGAGAATCGAAATGTGTATTAGCAACGTTTCAGCCTCACGACCTTCATCAGGCATGTTCAACTATTCAAACTCAATCCCATTTAAAATAATCACACGACCAATCAACGTAAAGATCCACTTGTAGACTATTAAGCTCAATGACTGAACACATAATTAATGATAATCACATAATCATCATAAAGAGTCATAAATAATTTTTAATAATATCAAAGTTCGAATCGAATACAAAAAAGTATATTTTATCATTTAAATTTTAAAAGTTTGTTTTTAGAACTTTTATATTATTAACAATTATGTTTGTAACTGTTTATGATGATGTGGTGTTAATCATGTATTCAGTCATTGAGCTCAATTGGTTACAAATGGGTCTTTACGTTGATTGGTCATGTGATTATTTTAAATGGGATTGAGTATCGAGTATGACATGAGGGTGAGTAAATGATGGGATCAATTTTATTTTGTTGTGATCGTTTAACAGACTCTGGTTAAATACATTTCCAGAAACGCAACTTTCTACAAGAACATATAACCTAAATAATATCACTTTTCATAAACAGGATATCAAAATAAATAATTATTTTCATTTTCAACAAACGAGTCAGTGCAAGACGGTGTTTAACCTTAAGAATGCACATACATTAATGTTACCATTTAACTAACTCAGTAACTCAGTCAATAATTGAGAGTGACTGGAAAACATGATTGTGACATTTCTGTGTGATATTTATGTGAAGATCAAAAGCAAATTTCAAAATGTATTTTAAAGGGCACTGCAGAAACTCTTTGCAAGTTTACAGACCGAGTAACTGGACGCAAGGGGGATTATTCAGACACCAGATATAATTTTTGATATTTTTGATTTTTTACAAGTGGGTGCAGGACACAATAGCTCATTTATAGCAAAATAAAGTAAACTGTGACATATTATACCAAAAAATTCTTCATACAGTGGACCACCAGTAAAATCTATAACATTTTGGGGCCAAAATGATTCAGACACTTTGACCAGACCACCACAGACTGAAGTTGAACAACATTAAGCATTGCTTGGTAATTGATTGCCCTAAATTGACTAAATTTAACAGCTGAAAGCTGTTGAGACACTCACAAATGTCTTATTTTATTACCATTTTCTAAACAATAGCGAATCAACTGTGATAATGTGAGAAATGTGTCTGAATAAATTTTGGTTTGACTGTAGTTTTATTTGTATAAGCAACAACAGTAAGGAAAATAACTCTATAAATGAATTGCTATTTTTATATTTTAAAAATGGCTGATTATAGGGTGTATTTAACACATCCAAATGAGTTTAGGTCAAACTGAACAATGGAATTCTCTGCAATCAATTTGATTGAATTTCGAGATCTGCAAATTACAGCACATAATGCATAAATTGGTTGAATTTGCATAAACGTTTAAGAAAAAAAAAAAGCCATGGGGAGACGTAATACATTTGTGGAAAGTGCCAAAGCAAATGGATATTAAAAACCCCTAAATAGCTGACGCTCATGTCCAAGTCTCTTCACTACCGTTTTTCACTCTTGTCTTCAGGGAACAATAACTCGTATTTTCTTACACTCATCAAGAGCTCTCTTTTCCAGAAAACTCATCCTTCTGCTTTTACTTTTATTTTTCCTGAAGCTACAGCTATGCAGATTCTCGTTCACACCTCCGTTCACCCTCTCTAAAACACACTCGTGCTGAAAAACCCAGGGCGCATTAGACGTTTAATCGAAGCAGATAACGGCGAATGGTTGCGTTAAAGATGTCCTGCTGGGAGTTAAACAAACATAAGACTGCGAATTGAACATCTCTCCTCCCTCAGGTATAGCCTGCTGCTGATCGCCCGGGTTAAACATGAAAAATTAACGTGAATTATGATAAAGAGACTGCTTTTAAACCGTTTAAGAGAATTAGCAGCAATTTGTCATATCGTCTCACTCTATCTCCAAGAGCGAATCTGCATCCCAATGGCAGCAGTAATTGAGTTAGTTGGAGGCAGAAAGTCTTGACGGAAATGTGAATAATGTCCTCAAGGTTCTGAGTGATGACTTCACCCAGAGACACGTCTGCCTCGAGTGGGTTTAATTGAGTCACAGATTAATGAATAAAAGGAATCGTTCATGACACAAGGATCAAACTCAGACCGCCCACGTCAATCCAGAGTTGTTCCTGTATCACACATTAAATGAGGATTATGACATATTAGTGCAAGACAAGTCGACCGGTCGACTGCTGCAAATCGACACTGGAAATGCTAGTCGTTGATATTCTATTCATCTCATTTTAGTATCGCGTTCTATTTTTGCGAAGGCTATGCTTCAAATTACTGTCATATTAATGTTAAATTTTAAAAATGAGACATCATTTTGAAAGAGTGCTTATTTGGAGCAGAAAACAAAATCGTTTTTTATAACCAGGACCTTTCCTGCGTTCGTTTTCTCAATTGAATCAGTAGAAGTGACATCTGTGATACTGGCCTTCATTACACTCTTAGAAAAAAAAAAAATATATATATTTGATTAAATTTGATTAATTACACATCTATTAAACATAAAATTGAATTAACCAGTTAAACATGAATGTATTATGCAATCATTTATGACATTTCTCTTTATATAGAACCTTCTTTAGCATAAAGGGTTCTTTAAAATTGATTCAAGAACCCTCTACATGAAACCATTGTGAACTTAGTAAAAAGATGCAATTAAACAAATATTTTAAATATAGCATGTTGTTTCTACATGCATTTGGAGATTCAACGATTCAATTCACAGATTCAATCTGAATTTGGAACCATTTCCTTTTTTAAAAGTATGATTAAATCACTTTTAATCACCATGTAGACACTGGTTAATAAGTTCACAGAAAATCGCCCCTATAGCAGTGAACCAGTGAAATTTCAAAACCTTTCGCAACAGCTATGACATGACGAAACCTTGTTTACGGAAATCATGTGACTTTGGCAGTTTGAAACGCAACCTGAATCACTGGCACGAAACGATGATTGAAAAAGGTTTTCAAAGCTTCATGAAGCAGTCTTTCAAAAGCACTCATCACTAATTTTCCTTATTTAAGTGTTCTTTTTTTTTACTGAACTCCATGAAAAATTGAAGAGCAAAAACTGGTCCCATGCACAAAATATAAAAGCAGGTTAGGCAATTTGTTCCAGAATTATTAGTATTATTTTTTCTGCCAGTTGAAAGCCTCTTCACATCCTGATAGCAATCTTTAAAGGAGTAGTCCACTTTTGAAAAAAAAAAAAAAAAAAAAAAAAATGGTGATAATTTACTCACCCCATGTCATCCAAGATGTCCATGTATTTCTTTTTTCAGTCAAAAAGAAATTAAGGTTTTTGATGAACGTTCCAGGATTTTTCTCCATATAATGCACTTCAGTGGGAACCAAATGGTTCAATGTCCAACCAAACTGCAAACTGTTCAAAGGGCTTTAAACGATTCCATACGATGAATAAGGGTCTTATCAAGCAAAACGATCGCTCATTTAATAAATAAATAACAAATTTTAAGTTTTATAAGCTCAAACGCTCGCCTTGCTCTGTTCTGTGACGCACGTTCATGACTCTCCTTTTCGAACTCGTTCATCAAAACGAACAAATCTTTTTCCGAGTCATTTATTTCATTCAACGAACGAATGACTCGGAAAAAGATTTGTTCATTTTGATGAACGATTTCGAACAGGAGAGTGACGAACGTGCGTCGCAGAACAGAGCAAGGCGAACATTTGAGCTTATAAAACTTACACTTTGTTATTTATTTATTAAATGAGCGATCGTTTCGCTTGATACGGCCCTTATTCATCGTCTGGAATCGTTTAAAGCCTTTTGAACAGTTTGCAGTTTGTACTGAAATTGTCTTTTGGACCTTGAACTTTTTGGTTCCCACTGAAGTCCATTATATGGAGAAAAATCCTGGAATGTTTTCATCAAAAACCTTTATTTCTTTTCGACTGAAAAAAGAAAGACATGGACATCTTGTATGACATGGGGGTGAGTAAATAATCAGCAAAAGTTTTTTTCAAAAGTGAACAACTGCTTTAAGTTAAGTGGTCTATATATATATATATATATATATATATATATATATATATATATTATAAATATACCAATCAGTTGATGTACACCACTGCCTTCCATAGTAGGAAAAAACATACTATGGAAGTCAATGGGGTCCATCAATTGTTTGGTTACCAACATTCTTCAAAATAGCTTTCTTTTGTGTTCAGCAGAAGAAAAAAATTCATACAGGTTTGAAACTATTTGAGGGTGAGTAAATGATGATTTTTCTTTTTTTTTTCATTTTTTAAATTAAACTATTCCTTTAAATCTTATCCCAACCTTAAACCTATACCACTAAACCTGTCCGTAACCTTACCCCTTTCCCACCTCAATAGCAGCACACCTATTTTGCAATACAACATGAACACAATAAGTACATTGTACCTAACAATTATCATTTTTATGCAGGTATGCGGTAGTTAAAAACATCTGATATAAAGTGTGACTCAAAAATGTGCAAAATAAAAATTCAGATTTCTTTTTTACAGTGTAGATCATCAGTAAAACAATCTGTAAAAGGAGAGAACTGTCTGAAAGAACTATGAACGCACACACGTATGCACAGACACACATATAAAAGGTCAAACACAGGAGGAAGTGGGCAGGTGCAGATGACCTCCAGAGGGACACATGACCGGTGGAGAAACAGGTTGATCTTACCAGTGCCACTCCACTATGACACAGCCGTCATGAAAGCGATAGCTGTGCAAACGTCAGCAGACACGCACACAACAGAAAACAAGAACAAATAAATGAATAAGACAGAGAGACAGGACATAATTCCTTTTGCAAAGTGCAACAGAAACTAAACAAATAAAAAGCAACTTAAAAAGAAGCAGCAACAACCCCCTACACAGCTGTTACACAACACTCAATTACAATTTAGGAACAATTTAGGTCTTAAGAATTTCATTTCATTTAGATGCAAGAAATCGTATGACGAGTATGACCTATACAGACACATGACATTGAGGCAGGACATATGAAAATGATTTAACTTTTATAGCCAAGCATTATTAAAACATTATAAATCCTGTTACTGTCATTTTTGGTCCATTTAAGTCATCCTTGATGAATGAGGAAAAAAAGAAGAAGAAAAAAAAAAAACGAATTTCTTTAAAAAAGTACCTTACTGATCTAGTTGCTCAGGCTTTTGATAATGATTGAAATGCAGTCTTAACCTTGAGAATGAAATACTTAGAAATGTATTATTAAGTGCATTTATTACTGCCTAACTACTTGAAATCACAGCAATAATTTCACATACACATTCTTAAAAGTCAAATTTGGGGTCAGTAACTTTTGACAGTATCACTCTTCAGCTCAACGAGACTGCATTTATTTAATCAAAAAAGCAGTAAAACAGTGATATTGTGAAATATAATTCTGATGTAAAACAACTGTTTTCTATGTGTAGACAGGTTAAAATGTACTTTAATCTTTGATGCAAAGCTGAAATTTCAAAATCATTAAAGGGTTAGTTCACCCAAAAATGAAAATTCTGTCAGTATTTACTCACCCTCATGCTGTTCCAAACCTCTATGTGTTTATTTGTTAGTAGGACTAAATACATACTATGTGTAACGGTCTCCAAGTGGAGTGCCCTTGAGAGTCACTAGAGGGCACTCCACACCAGATGTTCATGTTTCACTCACAACTACATTTCCCAGAACTCACTGCCCGGACTCATACTCACTGATCAAATTCACCTGTACCTCATTCTCTGATTGCATTCACCTGTGTCTCATCCTGTTAGTCTGTCTATAGACGAATCCGGCGAAACTACCGGAAGTAAGCGGGCGCCATTACTGAGCTGTTGCTGGGTAGCGTTGCGCCATTGCCTCCTATTGTTTTAGTTGCAACTTGCGTCCACTGGAATAAACAGCTCGCGATTTACGACTGTCACTAACGTTACAACGTTAGCCCTTGTATAATGTCGAGTGGGTAAACAGTTTCCGTTATAAATTGTTTTAATGGTGGCAGTAAAATTTTAATTTTGAAGAGAAAACATTGTGAATATCCCGGGTCGACTGCCCCTGTCTGGTGCCGTACGGTTTACACAGATTTCCTGGGCGAGTACAAGACGTGGACATTCGCGTATAATAACAATTATTTAATGACATGAGTAAAAAAAATATAATAAATATGTGATATAGTGATCAGCAAAATCTCCTCTCTTGCTGTTTTTTCTATTCAATTAACATGCTGGTCATTAAATGGCTTTCCTGAGCTAAATGTAACTTTATGTGACATAATTGTTTTCCTGCTGTTATATTGACCTCTTTCCATGGTTTAAAAACACTAATTGGTCGATATTATGTATACTTTCTAGCTGTAACGTTACCTTACCCTTGCCTGTTGCAATGTGAAAATGAGATAAATAATGGACACAAATGAAAAACATGAATTTGTTTATTTGATTTCATTCATTTATTTTTTTTTATTGTTGCCAAATGGACAGATCTTTTTATAGTTTCCTCGTTAGCAAACGTTAGCCTAGCTAGCTTGCCAAGCTATTTTCATAAATAACGTTAATCTGTAAGATCGTTTGTACCTTCATCTGTGACTGGAGGCCACTGCAGTCACAGATCAAACCAACAAGTCATTCTGCCTGGCTGTAGCTGTCATCGAGGGTGAGTTCGCGTTATCACCGAGGTTTGTTTACATACCGGTGCATATGTCTATATGCCTGTGTAACAGCTCAGTAATGGCGTCGCCACAAGATGGCAGCCTACACAAGAACGCTCGTCGGATTCGTCTATATACAAAGAACGTATATTGACAAGAAGTGAAAGCCAATAGAACGTTCCATTGCAACACCAGCGCCCAGCAGCAGCCCTACGCTTCCGCCATTTCGGGGTGAAAGCGACTCGGCAGTCATATAATATACATATATTTAGTCCAGTGCAGAGATCATTTTTAGGTTGAAATAATTAGGCTAGGTGATTATTTAACTAACAACAGTTAACTTTATAGCAGTTAAAAAAGAAGTTGCGACTTAACCGGGCTTTTACCCCCATATAACTTGAGACAGGGAAGTTTGAGGATTTAATTCATTATATTACTCTCCACATTAAGTGTGATAGGTAAGAATAAAGTGATATCAGTTCATGAAGTTATAACATTAGACCGTGTCCCGGGAGGTACACATAACGTTACTTACAAAAATAAGTTATCAATGAAATAAATTCAGCAAATAAATGTTGTACTAAAATACAATAAATATATAACAGCAATAGAATAGCTTTACAGTAAACAGTTTTTTTTTTTCTTTGCAGTACTATCCTATCTTATATTAATGACGCAAGACTAGTTATAGGATAACGGACACAGCGCATCAATGATCATCATGTTTGTAGCATGATCCAGGGGATTAAAACGTCCAAAATATATTTCAGGTCTAGTGGAGTCGGTACCTAATGATAGTAGTAAAAGTGTAAAGTTGCATACAATGGAAATACTCACTAATGCAAGAAAAAACGACCTCAAAAAACTGTTATCTGTGCTGTTGTCCAGTAACTCCAGTTGGATTTTTCACCCCGATATGGCGGCCGCGCTACCGAAGCGCCATCTAGTGGCTGTTACCAAAAAGCATCAGAGTTTCGCCTCTTGTTCTTCTATACTCTTTGCTATATATACCATGTTCATTCATTCACTCACTGCGAAGTCTTGTATGTTGTAACACTACATTTCCGAGCGGTTCTCCTTGGTTCCCTGTTCCCCGGTTTTTGGATTCCCTGCCTGTTCCCTGGATTTCTCTTTCCCCCCTGACCCCTGCCTGTTCTGTTTATTTGTTTAGTTTGTTTGGACTGCTTACTGTTTTTTGACCTTTTGCCTGTTCTTTGGATTACCCCTTAAATTAAAGCTGCATTTGGATCTTCATCTCCCTGTCTCGGAGCAGTTCATGACACTATGGTAGTCAATGGGGATTGAGATCTGTTTGATTAAAACATTCTTCCAAATATCTTCCTTTGTGTACAGCAGAACAAATAAACACATAGAGGTTTGGAACAACTTGAGGGTGAGTAAATACTGACAGAATTTTCATTTTTTGGGGGGGTGAACTAACCCTTTAATGTCTTCAGTGTCACATGATCCTTCAGAAATAATTGCTGCTCAAGAATTATTTCTTATTACCGTCAAGGTTTAAATCAGTTCATATTTTTGTTGAAACCGTGATGCATTTTTTTTTCAGGATTCTTTAATGAAAAGAGGGGGGGATATGTCTTTTGGAACTTATGAATGATATTCTACAAGTATGATTGTTTTTATAGCTTTAAATCAAGTGGTCCATAGGACTTGATGTGCCAAATGAGTGTTGCAGTTGGTATTTATAATTAAGGTGGTGAAAAATGTCCTTCTATGGACATTTTATTGGTCAAACATTTAAAAATCAGATGACGCCATACATTTTTTCGTCTACTTTCCAAGATGAGATGTGCTGTTCCATCACCATTCGGAGTGCAATAGCAGAATGAACGCACAAAACTGTTGAGTGTTGTGGTCGGTGGTCTCACACACATAAATGAAGGCATATATCTGGATTTGTTGTGTGACAGAACTGAGGCGTTGAAGTCGTGACCTCTGAGAGAGGAGCAGGGTGTACGTAGGTTGGTTTGCGGTTAATAACTCGACCTTCCAAATAGCCTTATAAATCATATCACACGCTTTTAAATCTTTTTTATTTCTTAGAGCCGACTGTTATAAATCAGACAATGAACAACAGCAGCAGCACTGATGTTCACTCAAACCAATACGAACCTAAATAAAGTGGATACCGTGTAATGAATAGTCGACAAAAATAAAAATGCAGTATTTTTTTCCCTACAAATATCAGTAAATTTTTAGGTTGAAATAATTAGGCTAGGTGATTATTTAACTAACAACAGTTAACTTTATAGCAGTTAAAAATAAAGTTGCTACTTAACCAGGCTTTTACCCCCATATAACTTGAGACAGGGAAGTTTGAGGATTTAATTCATTATATTACTCTCCACATTAAGTGTGATAGGTAAGAATAAAGTGATATCAGTTCATAAATATACTCACACACATAAATGAAGGCATATATCTGGATTTGTTGTGTGACAGAACTGAGGCGTTGAAGTCGTGACCTCTGAGAGAGGAGCAGGGTGTACGTAGGTTGGTTTGCGGTTAACTGATGTTCACTCAAACCAATACGAACCTAAATAAAGTGGATACCGTGTAATGAATAGTCGACAAAAATAAAAATGCAGTATTTTTTCCCCTACAAATAAACCTGCATGATTTCTTTCATCTGTAACTACAAAATAAGATATTCTGAAAATAGTTTTTTTTTTTTTTTGTCCGTGCAGTAAAAAAACTATTTTTGTCGGTGTCGAAAACAACCCTGAAGCCTGAAAAAAAAAAAGAAAAAAAAAAAAAGACATTCCACAATAGAAAGATCCTCATAAGTTTAGGATGACATGAGGGTGAGTAAATGGAGACCTGAAGCTATGAAGCTCAAACTCAATCTTAATATTAGATCAACTGTAAAACATTTAGCTATTTTACAATAGATTTGAAAGTCACTCATCTGATCAGAACTGTTTAATAATATTAGGTTTACGTTTATAAGTATTACAAAAAATGTGAAGCCACGTCTGCAGCATTTTTGATGTCAGATTTATCCTTCATTTGTGTTTTTCATCTCTAACAATATCAACATTATAACATGGCTATCTATTTAAGTAATATTGTTTTACATTTATTCTGCAAGGATGCATTAAATTGATCAAAAGCGACAGTAAAGACATTTATGATGTTATAAAAGATTTTCTTTCTATTGATCAAAGCATCCTAAAAAAAATGTATCACAGTTTCCACAAAAATATAAAGCAGCACAACGGTATTCAACATTGATAATAATAGGCAATGTTTCTTGAGTAGCAAATCACCATATCAGAATGATTTCTGAAGGATCATGACACTGAAGAGAAGACTGGAGTAATAATCTTTGCATCACAGGAATAAATCACATTTTATACTATATTCAAATAGAAAACACTTAAATAGTACAATTATTTCACAATATCGCAGTTTTTACTTTTGGATCAAATCTTACCGATCCCAAACATTTGAAAAGCAGTGTATATTGTGACACTGTTACCGTTATATGCTCTTTATGTATTGCTCACACACCCAAACAAATAAAAGCACTCACAGTTTTGTAAGTGCTTCTGTTCAGTCTCTCATTAGAGCAAGTAATCAACCGTCTACAGATCAAACTAATACAGCCGAGTATGAAAACTACTAACAAGAGACTGTTATTATCTCATTATTAGCATGAATACAATGTCTGATTACAAGAATTATCCCATTTAATATGAGACCCCATGGAGGGAGGAGATGTGTGGCTGTAGGGGCTCATGAATTAATCAAACCCGTCACCTCTGCTGTTGTGATTCTGTTTTATGTGGTCCCCTTCAAAATGAATATGACGAAGCATTGCTAACAAACCCGTCAGAATGCATCGCACCAGCAGGGTTCTGGCAGTAAAATTCCCATTCGTTTCTTCCACAGTGTGTAAAGTACAGTATAAACCTTTTGAAACACAGATAAGATGATGTCCTAAACTTCAGAACTCCAAAATCCTGAATTGATTATTCATACTCTTGCAAACTGAATGGGATGTTGCAATTAAAACTGAATGGAAATTGCAATTAAATTTAATTAAATGCAATTAATTGAACTTAAGAGCCACTTTTTTTATCCATCTGTATTTGTAATTTCACAATCAGTTATTGAAGTGTACTGCCAAATGTACTTACAAGCATTTGTGGTAAACAAAAAAATATACTTTAATTTAGTTTTTTGTTGAAACATGTATTATATGTAATGCATTTAAATATATTTGTAATCACACGTTTGTAATAAATAAGTGTGCAAAATAATTGTACTCCTTTAAATCACAACAAAAGATTATTAAAACAAGGATTTAATATGTAAAAGTAAAACTTTTAATTTGCCATTATTACAAAGTGCACTTCTTTACTCATGTACTCCAAGTACACTTTAAGAGGCCTTTCTTTATTCAACTTTCTTTATTCAAGTACACTGCACTACAACTGCCCATTTTAGTACATATTCAATTAAGCACACTTTAATATCTTGTAAATCAATGTCAAATATATTGTATTTTATACTTTAATGAGATGCAAGCATTAGTTGTATGGTGTATGGCTATTCTTGCTTTGATTGATTTTCCATTTTTTCCTAAAGTCGTTCTCTATCAAGTACACAGTCTTGTTTCTTTGTCTTTTTTGCCAGTTTTCTTCAAATCAATGTTTTTATTACTGTGATTCATCTCTGAGCTTTGAATTTTATAGAGAATATGTTTCTGAAAAGCCTGTAGTGAAAATGAATGGGGGGAAAATACTTCAGGAATGAATCCCAAGGCCACTGCAAATTTGTGTGATCACTGTTGAGCTCTACACATGAATGCATATGTACATGTGTCATAGTCAGGATTTATACACTTCAATCAGGTGTCCATCTGAATTCTCTGGCATGTAAGTCCACTTTGGTCCTTAAACACACACACACACACACACACACACACATGGGGTGAACCACTGTGAAATTCCATCCCATCTAAAGAGATGATACTCCAAGATCACTGACTCAAACGGTCTGATTAGTATTCATCACATCGACATAAGCACACACATGAACAACTGAACACACACACACCATTTCACTGTCCTGCTCACTATGCTGGATCTAAGGGGACAGCTATAAATTAGCATATTTATAGTCCTTTCAGCGCTCTGCTCTCCTGAGTGGCTGTGTGGCTCCGGTGATGAATATTCATGTGCGTGCGGAGGTTAATTTGGGCAGAATGTCTGCTGCTCTTTCCTGTGAAACAACACAGATCTTCAGGTAACGACAACCTCCCCACAGAATACACAGACACGCGCACGCACGCTGTGGGATACCTGTGCCAGTTTTACTTTTACCTCAACCTACCACAATAATATGATAAATGAGCCATACGAGTTCCTCAGATGGTCAATGGGCCAATGTTTCTTCTGTCCATAAACTTGAAGTGTGTCATTTCTGCACAATGAGAGCCATGAAACAAGACGTAATGCTTGTGTGCAAACAGGTTTCTGAAACACAGCATTCCTATTATCTTTCTGTCCTTTTACCTGACAATTGCGGCTCGGATTAACAGTTAGTGATGCAAAATTCACAACATTGTTGACATGCTGTCGTCAGGCTGCTCAAACAAACTGAGCAATATTTTGACTTTTGTTGAGACCTGGTATTAAAATGAATCTAAAGTGATCTGAGCAAATATAAGGGGCTTTCGCACCGGGTAGTTCTAGGAACTAGCCACTAGGGTAACCACCTGTGAACGAATGGTTCACTTAGGAACATTTTCCTGGTTGCACTGCCAGTAGGAATTCTGATGTGATGTAAGCCGCACTTGTTGTTGTGACTTTTATTTTGATGGTGCGGCATACCTTTATTTTGACGGCGCTAAGAACGCTAGAGCCTGAGCACACGGTTCATTACTTTACGATCTGTCTAACAGTCCTGTATAATACGTTATTAGATAGAACTGATATACATAGAAAGTATGACAGTATATGGAAAGGTTTTATCATATGCCATGTATTTGTCATGTTTATAATCATATTTAGCTTGGTCCCCTCAAAGTTGATTTGATCTTCTCCTTAGCGTAAAGGTTAAGGTTAACGCCGATCCAAGTGCGCTGGTGAGATTTGAATAAGGTGATAAGGTGAGCGCGAACAGTAGGCTACGTGTACATATTGAAGAGAAGAAAATGGTTCGTGTTTGTGATTCTTCCGGAAACAACGGACCATATGTGATTCTGCACAGTTCAGCGCACTTGAATCGGCGTTCGTAGATCAACTGGTAGAGACTATTTTTCAAAGATGGCTTCTTCCTGTATTCGCGAATTTGATTGTATGTATAAAATATCTTCTTATAAAACTGTATGGACACTGACAAAGTTCTCAATGCTTCGGTTTGAAAGTAGGGACCCTTATTATGCTGTCGTGTTGGTGTGGGGCTATATTGAGCCATGTTAGTGGTAATAACAAGCGATTTTTGTTTGTCATTACTCTATGCCCTATATACTAGCGTTATACTAGCACTATAGGCTAAACTGTTTTTAGAGATAAAACTCTTTACATTCGGCAATCATGAAAACAAATCTCAGAGAACGGTTGACTAGGTAACAATGTGTAATTAGACCAAAGGTTCATTTTGCGCCGGAGTTCTCCTTTAACTGCCCTAATAACAAAAAAATTATTATTAAAAAATAAAAATTACATGACAACTTATCATTATAAAATGATTATTTATTTTAATAAAAGTTAAGAATTCAGGTTTGTTTATCAGTACCACAGTAACGCTAACTTCCGCTGGAATTGTCCGATAGAAATCGTCCGTAGCTTTTTGCAAGAGTTAAAAAAAACCCGCATGAGGTCGTTTTTTTTTTTCAGACTCAGTGTGTAAGGACTCCACCCACAACAGGCCCCACCTTTAAAAGACTCCTCCCTTTAAAGAGCCCGTCCACCATGTTCCACCCCTCACCTCTCAAAGATTTCCTCAAAGGGCTTACCTTTTAAAGGTCCCTTCCCAAAGACCACACCTACCACAAGCTTCACCCTTCATATACATTCACCTCACAGACTCCACCAACCACAGACCCACCCTTTCAAAGGCTCATCCCCAAAGAACCAGATGCCACTTCCCTCACAGACTAAATCTACGACTAGCTCCACCCCTCTGCAAAATCCACCTTTCAAACTCCACCCACCACAGGCCCCACCCATCAAAGGCTCCTTCCTCCAAAGAGCCCATCCCACAGGCTCAACGCCTCACTGTCAGGCTTACTTGATGTTGTCAAGACAACCAGAGTCTGGCTTCAGGATGGCAGTGTGGTGGAACATCTTGTACAGAGCGATTCCTAGGAAGATCACATTCAGCTAGGAAGAACAGAAGCACAGGATTGGTTGAGGGTTCACACGTGAGAACACTAGAGCGTGCAACATTAAACATGGATGTTTTGAATGTAGATTTTAGAGAGCATCAGAGCTGGTTACCATGATGATGAGTGTGGCGGGGCCAATAAAACTCCAGATGAAATAAGTATCCAACCGCAACCAGCACCTGAAAATGTAAGAAAGAGACGTCACTTAAGTTTCAAAGTAGCGCGCACACACACAAAAGTCAGGCTTTTGGCTGATACATGAGAGTTCTTTCAATTATTCAGACTTTAATTTCCGCATCATTAGACTAAACTTAAACCTTCCTGTGACCACCCACACAGTCATTCAGACTCATTCAGATCATTTGAGTGTGTGTGTGTGAGACTCACACTCTGTCTGTCCCGTAACTGCGGTAATCTACTGCAGCAGAAACAGCCACGATGAGGGCAGGAATTCCGTATCCGGCCAGGTAAAAATATCTCCTGCGGGAATGTTCGCTCTCAAACACCTCCACCAGCATGATGTAGAGCTGAACGCCTTCCAGAAACATCCACGTGAACGCAGACAGGAAGAAGAAATGGAGTAGTGCCGCAAAGACAGCGCAGGCAATCTGAAACGCACACAAGCAGTCTTGTGAGGGCGTGTGTTATGTGGACATTGATGGATGCTGTTCAGCGACCTCGCAAACCTGCTCAGATAATTGAAAAATGTTAAATAATAGGGTTTAAAGATTATGAATCATGCATGATGTCCCTGCATTAGAGTCACACACACACTGAACGATTTCACATTAAATCTTTATGACACACGTGCACACACGCTTGTGCTATTTCACCCTCTCATGAACTAATAAAAACATGGAGTCAGCCAATTTAAACATCCCAGGCCCTATCATACACCCGGCTCACAAAAGTGTTTTTGCTAGTTTCAGTCCGACACAGTTATCATTTTCACGTTTTGCCCCGCACCAAATGGATTTGGGCCCATCTGTTTGCCCATGGGTGCACTGGTCTGAAATTGAGGTGTGTTCACATGGTTGGCACGTTGCTATTTTGAGGAAACTGAAAAAAGACTGCGCCATTGACTTTAAACCATGTTTCAGTTAGTCAATGGCAATATCACAAAATATATATTTTTGGTAACACTTTATTTTACGGTGTCCGTGATACAGAGTAATTACTTAATTAATTACTTAGTAGTAAACATTGTAATAAAATGTGACAAAATGTAATTAATATTTAATGAATTTATGGAACAGCCTGTACTTACAGATTGTAATTACACACATGTAATAGGCAGCTACTGTTACACATGTGTAACAGGCCGAGTCAGTTACATACGTGTTACCGACTTGGTACAATGTAATTATATAAAACAAGTATGTTGTTCTACTCAATGTAACAACAACTATTTAAATATGTTACTACGGTGTGAAAAAAGCCTGCAGTTCCATAATGGTCATTTTGTACCTTCTAAAATAGTGTATCAAGATTGTACTTAAGTGTACTTCATATGTATAATGCTACGTTCACACCGGACGCGAATAGGGCGTCAGGCGCGAATGATTTCAATGTTAAGTCAATGCAAAGACGCTTTACGCGCGTGAAAAATTTCTTGCGGCGCGAATGAGCCATGGAGCGCGGCGCGGAAGACGCGAATACGCCTCGTTCGTGCGAATGGCGCGAATTGAGCGTCTGGCGCGTTAAGCGCGAATGTGCCATTTGTGCATTCACGCGTTTGACGCGAATTCGCGTCTGCCGCCCGAGTTGAAAAATCTGAACTTTGGCGTGAATTCGCGCCGCGTTAACCAATCAGGAGCCTAGCTGCTTGCTCACGTGGTGAAGTGTCTGGATGCTTCAATAAATTATTTTGTTAATATGACTAGTGGGATTATGCACAACAAAGCTAATGTTTTATCACTTAAATCATTATTTCTATATACGAGACATGTTCATTTTGTATTGAATGTTATTCATTCCATAGCTAGATTATACAAAATAGTATTATGTTGTAAAGACAATCAACATATGTGCATAACTTCGTGTCTGGACGTGAGAGAGAGAAAAAAAAAAAATCACAGGACAGGGTAATAACTTTTGAAGGCTGGCTCTATTTATCATCAAAACAAAAATAAATAACAGCTAGATTAGATGGATGAGGGCGAGGGTGATCCTCGCTCCGATGCGGGACAACATGTCATCAAACTGGGCGCGTGACAGGCGGAAGTACCGCTGACAGCGGCCGTCATCCAGCACAGCTCCTGGAGCGAGCAAATGGTGAAACTAGCCAAACGGTTCGGCTCCGAAGGGTCCGGTGGACACAAATATACGGCGACGATGATCCCCACGCTGCTGTTCTGCTCTCCAGAGTAAATACAGAGCGGTAACTCTCTTGATGAATGCTCGGTCGACATAAAAACAATGGCCGCCAACGGATTTCGATTCTGACGCGCGTAAATTTCGCTTCAAATTTTTGTTTTTACGCGTGCCAGTTTCGCTCTTGACACGCGAAATAACACAAAGTGGTCAAACTAGACGCGTCAGGCGCGAATTTGACGCGCGATTCGCGTCTGGTGTGAACGTAGCTTAAGGTATGTAGATACACTTGAAGTACACTTAAGTACAATCTTGATATACTTTATTTTACGTAGCTTATCCCTGTGTAATATTATGTAATTGCAATGTAATTAGGAAGCTACCGCATGCATTTATGCTGTGAACGAGGGAGTTAAGCCTAATTTAAACTAAACTATATATGGATAAGGTTTGTAGATACACATGCAGTACACTTAAATACAATCTTGATACACTTTATTTTACGTAGCTTATACCTGTGTAATATTATGTAAATTGAATGGAATTAAGAAGCTACTGCATGTATTTAAGCTGTGAACTAGAGGGTTAATTCAGAGGGATAAGGAATGTAGATACTCATGAAGTGCACTTAAGTACTTGATGCACTTTCTTTTAGAAGGTACAAAATGACCATGTGTAACTGCAGGCTTATTACCTTTGTAACATATTAAGTACTTGTTACATTGTACCAAGTCGGTTACATACTCGGCCTGTTACACATGTGTAACAGTAGCTACCTATTACATGTGTGTAATTACGATCTGTAAGTACAGGCTGTGCCATATCTTAGTTACATGTTAATTACATTTTGTTACATTTTATTACAATGTTTACTACCAAGTAATTAATTAAGTAATTACTCTGTATCACGGACACTGTAAAATAAAGTGTTACCATATTTTTTTGTTATTTAGAGCACATTAGTAATATGCACCTACAGGCTGGTCAACAATGCGCGTACACTTTGTCTCGTAGATGGTCTGTTTGTGTGTTTTAACCTCGCTAGAGAAGCGATCATCTTTTCCCGCTTGCAAATTCAGCCATGTAATTAGCAAATCAGCTAGTTTTTAAAGCAATTGAAAGATGAGACTCTGATTGGATACTTATTCCATATTACGCCCAAAACACACCCATTACTTATTTAGAGAATAGAGACATTTTTTCCTGTCGTTAAACCAGCAAAAGTGGATTCGGACTAGTTTAGCGCTTTAGACCATGCACTTGGATCGTTAAAATAGGGCCTCCCGTGTCCAAATATGCACGGAACAGAAAGAGCTGTACTTAAAAAAGTAGGATTTGTACGTAATTAAAATAATACATATACAATGAAAAGATGATTTGTGTGTTTGTATGTTTGTCGTACAGGTTGGTCTGCGCGGTTGATGCCGGTGAGGAAGAGAGTTTCAGCGATGAAGAGCGAGATGCAGAGGTTCTTGTGAATGGTGTTCCTGTCGCTCTGGAGGCCACGGAAGAAGCAGAAGGTGAAGATGCAGACGAGCAGACAGACCAGAGACAGCAGGATGCCCACCCACGTGATGACGTCCAGCAACAGATCATGCACAGGGTCTGCCGTCTACAGGGAGAGACAGAGTTTAGAATGTTTTCACATTCCTTTGAACATGAACATTACACCTGAATATAAAAATATCGCTGCAAGCAGCAATTACAGGACTCAAGCACAGCAGCAGATACACAGTGACACCATCAAAGTGTCTGAGAGCACATCAGAGCAATGATTTTTTTTTTACAATTTTTTTTACAACATTTAAACCGGGATGGGCAGTCCATCATTTTGCAACAACAAATAAATAAATAAATAAATAAAATAAATCCACATTTTTTAAGTAGATTATCTGCAGAATATGTACTAAAACTAACTATAACTGTAACGAAAACTATTAAAAATTATGGTAAAACTTTACAGTAATCTTAACTATAAACAAGGAATTAACAGCATTTATTAATCTTAATTCATGTTAATTTCAACATTCACTAACACATTATTATCATTTACTAATACAATACAAATCTGTGTGAAAAGACCTTATAATCTGTGTGGATTAATTCACTAATACAACCTACAGTACATGCTAAAGTGAATCAATGTTTGAATTCCCTACATTAATTATGCGCAATACCCACAATCCTGCACCGAAATTCGAGCCAGACATCCATACATAAAATAGAAAGTGCCATCTAGCTCATCACACTGACCGTAAACCTTTTCCAAACTTTGTGTTAATATCTTAATAACTAACTACCTTTAAAAAACAAACAACACAAACATCTCCACACAGTTGCAAAGTACTGTTATTAACTCTGCACAAACAACATCTATAGTGTATTTTTATGTGTTGTTCTTTAAGGCAATAACCGTGTGTGACAGTAAGTTTGATTTATTAGTGTGCCAAAGTTAAAGCTCTCGGATCCTGCAGACGGCCGTCATTGATTCCCAACTGTACTCCCTCTGTAGGGTCCCTACGGAGGCCGCACAGCCAGGGGAAAAGAGCACAGCTGATATGGGACGCATCCCAGAAGACTTTGAGTCTGGAAGACCGGATGTCAGCACTTCTGAAGAACACAGCACCTGAATATTTATGAGTGCTGCATAGGTAACAGTACACAGCTTATATGTGCCTTTGTGTGTGTGTGTGTGTGTGTGCCCCAGAGGGCCGTTGAACACATAACACATCACTCTTCCAGAGGCCCACTCACCCTTGAGCACTATATCTCCTCTACATTCAGCACACAGTGTGTGTGTGTGTGTGTGTGTGTGTGTGAGTGTCAGTGCTGTAAGTAAATCAGCAGCTCAAGCCTGCTCAGCAGAATCCACAGTGAGGCCTCAGACTTTATAGAGTCAACGCTGAGCTAAAGTAAATCTATGTGTCTATAAACACACACACACATACACACGTGCACATGTAGAGAGTAACACTTCATGATATATATTCTATAAATCATTATTAAAACTGAAAATGTTAAAATGAGGAAGGAATTTTTTGAGGTATAAAAAAATATATATCAATAATAATACTAAAATAACACTTCTGCAGAAAGTCATTTATTAAGATCATTTTTTTTCTCTCACTATTTTAGCCATTTTTATCCGTTTGGGTTAAGCCTAAACAGAACATTTTGCTTATAAATTTTAAATGTTTTAGCTCTGAAATGGCTTAAAATGAAATATATATATATATATATATATATATATATATATATATATATATATGAAAGTATTTAAAAGTAAACCTAATTCAAAATATGAATAAATAATATAAAAGAATACAAATAATACTGCTGCAGATTATTTCATATTAGTTTATTTTCCATTTCTTTAGCATTTTTTGTTTGAGGCCAAGCATAAACCTTACAAATATTTTATATATCTAAATGTCACAATTTTTCTGCTCTGAAATGCCTTACAATATTGTTTTTTTTTCAAAGAAGCAATCACTGCCAAGTACACTAAATGTATTTAAAAATATTTAAGCAAAGTTCTCTGTTCTGTTTTTCAATAAACAAAAGAATCACAATATGCACAACTTTAACAATATAGTAGTAATCAAGTTTTTACTTGAACCACCTGCCGATCGACTGTCCTACACAGGCTGTGTCCAAAATCTCCCCTCAAAACACTACTCCCTACCCCCTATGTAGGTGGAAGGGAGTAAAACACTATATAGTGAGCTCACCAGCATAATAGAAACACCACTTTCGGACACTACTCGGTCGTCTCTCGGCGCTGTTGATCACGTCATTGCTGTCGCCCGTCCGTCTTTTTTACGATCAGCGGACTGCATGATGGTATGTAGGGCTTGGGTTAGTGACCATCGGCTGTACACTACTTTTCAAAATGCATTCTGGGATACATTGAGTGGACTATATAGGGTATAATAATCCTCACTATACATTCGGACAGCACTACAAAATGTCAAGCTCACTATATAGTCCACTATATAGTGAGTAGTGGGAGATTTCAGACACAGCCACAGTTTATCTCCAACCCTAATCAAACAAACCTGAAGCAACCAATTAAGGTCTTCAGGGTCATTTGGAAATTAAAGGCAGGTGTTTTTAATTAGGGTTAGAGATGAACTGTGCAGGACAATTGATCGGCAGGAGCAGGGTTGTTCACCCCTGACTTAAACCATATGAGAAATATGAAATATATCAGAAAACGCCACATGGAGACTTCCATGAACATTTCAGAAAGATGATTCTGATCAGAGCTTTGAATCGATTCAAATTAACGGGCAGTTTGAATTAAACTGACTTGTGTATAACAACAGTTTTTATGCTGTTTTTCAAGTTTCAATCATCAGCAATGATAATAAAAAGAGCAAGAAGAGTTATACTGTTTCGATCTTCACCAAGCTTAAAAGCTATTAAAAAGCACATTATTCATCACAATGTTGATTACGTTTATATTGTCAACAAAATAATAACAGATATATCACCCAGCTCTAGCACAGAGACACAGATGAACAATCATGAAACACACACACACAAAAGGTGATGGAGCAGGTGTGTGATTAATTGCTCTCTGGTCTCCATCAAACACACCAGTACAAAATGGAAAAGAGATCAGTGAATGTGTGTGTGCACTTCAAGATCTGGTAGATTTATATCCCGTCTGGATTCTTCATCCCCTCAGTATAAGTTCACGTCGTTCAGAAAACAGAGCTGTTATGTCTAGTGCTGAGAATTTTACACAAATCAGTGAATCAATTAACCAGTTAAAACATTATCGACAACCACCAGCAATTCACTGGTTCTATCACACAATCACGTGTTCCCAGGTTTGGACATTTAACGCAGTTTAAACACGTTCCGATGGTGTATTCATTTGCCAATTAAATAAATAAAAAAATAGACAGAGAACTAAATATAAAATAATAATAAAACGATTATATAAATGTAATTAAAATTAGATAATGTTAGTCATCTAGTTGCATGTAATTTATAGTTTTTGCTATTGTAACTATTTGTAACATGAAACAAGGACACTGTAAAATAGTGTTACCGCATTTTATTGTACAGAAAAGAAAGTCGTCCATGTTGAGATCACATGACCCGCTGTATCATGTAGTGTAATGCCTGGTTCAGATTGCACGATTTAAGCCCGATTTTGGCACGATCCGTTTGACGTAGGGTGTCGTGGGGATTCGTAAACAACAACGGGCGTCGGGGCGCAAGATTCGATCGTATCGTCTCGTATAGTGTGTCATAGTGGGCGACAACCTACGTCGCGTTTGCGATGCTTCACGACATCACGACAAAAAGACTAGCGTGTTTAATTTTTTTAACGGTAGCCCACGACGGTTCCGAGGAGCACAAGCTTTTCCGTATATAACTATCAAAAAAGACAAAACGAAAGAGAGACAATGGTGCTAACATTAAAACTACAAGTAAAAATATATAAGAAAACAATATTTTACCACAAGTTCTCTTTGGATGATTGACAGCCCATACTGTCCTCTTCGAGAAGGGTTCTCAAGTCTCAAGCAATGGCCGTGAGACACACGCAATTCAACCAGTTCACACACTCACACGCCACACCGTGTATTTCTCACGCTGAAAAGGCGATGCCGAGCAATCCAGGAAGTCACTCGCTACGAGTTTCGCCTTCTCGATGACATAACGCGCGCCGTTAAACACGGCATGCGATGACTGGTCAGGAAGTAACGTGTAGTCTGACGTGTCTTGTCCACGACAAGATTTTAGGAGCCAAAATCGCGTAATCTGACAAAAAAAATTGTGTAATCTGAACCAGGCATAAGGATTACTACTAAAACTAATATTAATAAATTGACTCAATATAATGTTTTAGCCAGTGTTAAAAGTGCACAAACATTAAAATAGGCATGGCAAGGCAAGTTTATTTATGTAGCACATTTCATACACAATGGTAATTCAAAGTGCTTTACATAGAGGAAATTAAAATTGTGGGGTCAGTAAGATTTTTTCTTAAATGAATCAATGTATTTACTCAGCAAAGATCAGGGCTCCAGACTGCGACCAAATAGTCGCATTTTGCGACCAAAATTTGAGAGTGTGCGACTGAATTTTACATCCAGTCGCACATGTGCGACCGGTAAATTTGCCACACGTTAAACGCATGGTAAGCGTGGCAGGGACGCGTCAATGAATCCGTGACAAGAATAGCGCGATTAAACGTCTGTGGCAACATGAGAGACGGAGACAAATATCACAACCTGATGTGCGTCTGAGCAATAAGCGATCTATCGACACGTTACCTAGCAGCGAATACAAACAAAATGAAAGTGGAACTAAAATACGCAACTCATATAGGCTATGCTTCACGAACCGTTGGCGTTTTTATTAGGTTGGACCAATAATAGACAGAGCAGCGCATAGTGGAGCCTCCCGAACCACCGACAGTAATAAAGCCCCGAACTTGCCAGTCGCTGGCCAATCTCGATCACGCGACACTGTTACTAGCAGATCCAGTGAATAAATCCATTGAATTCGCCTCAGAATTAATAACATCATCGCTACGAGATCCAGTGAGAAACATTCCGATTCGGCGCAGAGTTCTGTTATAAACCATAT